ACACAAAGACTAACCTTTAATGGCAGGCGACTTAGCTTTGGTTTTACCCTTCTTGCCCTTCGCAGGCACATTCTCCTCGCCTGAGCTCTCTCCGCTTTCACTTGCCTCTTCTTGCGCAGGCGCCTGTCCCTCTTCGAAAAGCTCGGCGTACTGCTCGATCGCAGCTTGGATGAATCCTGCACAGCGATACTGCACCTCGTCATCAAGCTCAAGTGGCAATGCAGCAGTCGGTAGCACACGTCCATCTGGTGTCGTTGTCTGTTCCGCGCAGAAAAGAATGTGTAATGTTATAAGATTCTGGAAGGCCTAGAAAGGTGTCAATATCTCCCGGATCGGAAAACTAGTGGAAGAGACATACCGCACGTTTAACAGCTTCGGCAGTATTCGACTGCGTGCCAACTGCGTATTCTACCAACTTCTCGAGCAGAGAGTCCCGTTGCTCACGCAAAGTTTCCATATACTTCTCATCTTCTAGTGTCGCCTCCTTAGCGTCGGGCAAGCTCCGTGTCTTCCACATGATATGTAGGCCGAGAACCTGCAGTCCCTGCTCGATCATCTACACCATTCCAATTAGCCACACTGACAAAACACACAAAATAAAACACACCCTCTCTTCTTCCCTATACCCCAACCGTCCCCGCTCTACGAGTGCAGCAATAATATCCCACACACAACTCTGCTTCCCGCCCTCGCTCTCTTCCATCCATCCGCACATATCTCTCATCCCTATTAGTGCACACACTCGCGCGCACACAGCACCTAGCGCAAGCACCTCGTCCTCATTAAATCCGGCTACCTCGATCTCCTCGCGTCCGCCAACAGCGTCACGGAGCTGCGCTGCAAGCTCGTCCTCGAGTTCCAGGATTTTTGTGCTGTTGGTGTTGCTGAGCGAGGGACAAGAGAGAAGGTGCATGATGCAGGCGACAGCAGAAGCGAGCACCGTTTGGGCGGAGTGGGAGAGAAATTGCTTAGTGATGTCGTCCCAGAGATTGGCGTAGGCCTATTGATCACACGTGAGTATCGCCGAGTAGGCAAAGAAGTAAGAAGAGTGTCAGAGAACGAGAAGAGGAAATATTCGAGAGACTAGATAACCGAACAAAAATGGATCAAAGGTGTCAAACACAACTCACAGTCATCATCCGCATCTCCAGATATAGTTCTATGTTCATTAAGGGTGGGATTAGCAACACATTTGCAATCCGGTTGGCGTCCGTCTGGTACTTGATGAATAACCTCGGTAGACCCTTAATCAGTGCACGAGTAAGATCTGATATCAGCGTCTCGTCCTCGCCCTGCAACCAATGAATCTTAGCCTTCAAGTCATACTCGATAACCAGTGGCACTCACCTTTTTCGCAGTGCCAGCGAGAGCTTTTGCTCTTTGGAGTGACGCAATGAGCACCTCTAGCAACACACTTTCCTCTGTCTCAGTCAGACGCCACGCCTCGTCTACGGTATTTTTCGCAGAAGCAGCGATGGAGTCGTCTGCGGCATCCAAATCCTCCTCGCCCCCTCCGGCAGAGTGATCGAGCAATAGCATCTCAAGAAGCCCCTCCCACCCGCTCGCAGAATCTACATCATCCCACAGAGCCTCCACAGCAAGCGCCGTACGCCCCTTAATGTCTGTACTCATAGCCACTCCTCTCTGCGAACCGTCCTGGCTTCCATCCTCTTCCTCCACACGCTCGCGATCCCAACGCACAAGCAACATTGCCAGCGCCTTGGCGCCCGCTCGTTCCTTTCCTTTCTCGCCCACCTTGCGTCCCGCCAGCCGCTCCTCAACAAGTTCGTTCCAGAGACCCCCAACAAAACCTGCCACCGCCCTCCTCACGCGCACCTCGCCATCGAACACGAGCTGACACATCTGTTCTCGTTCCTCATCTTCCAGCAAGCCGTGCTGGTCGACTGCACCTAGGACGCCAAGTACAGCGGTGCGCACGGCGAGCTCTGTATCATGCGCTGCCATCTCGAGAAGGCGGGGCTTGAAGCGCGCGGTGAAATTCATGAGGCCACTGATGTATTCGGCCTGTGCGTAGACTGCTGATAAAGCACGGACAGCTTCGAGGCGGACGGGCGTGGCACTATCGGAAAGAACCCATCCAACATAACGTAGGTAGGACGCGTCAAGGAAATGGGCAGGGTAGTGTGTAAACCAATGGCCCATTGCACGCACACACTCAGCGCGGATGTGCGGGTCAAGATCGCGGTACCTGTGCACGAAGACACTGGGGAGAAGGCATGAGTGAAAGGATTTAGAGTAAATAGAGTAAATAAGACACTTACCCATCCACGATCTCCTTCAGATACTCTGCGAGGGCAGCACGACGTTTTCTCACCTCCGCCGCCTTGCCATCCAGATCCTTCTCCCTCACATTTTGCGCTTTATTTGCTGCGCGTCTCTTCCGTTCTCCTTCGCGCTGTCGCCCAACAATCTCCGCCTCTTTCTCAACTGCTGCTGCTACTTGACACAGTGCAGTCTCCACCTCCAATGCAACTGCCGTTGCTGTATGCCGGAACGCTCGAATCTGTGAACTGCTCATCGCAACGACCCAGGTCTGCAATGTAGTTACCATATCACTCGTGTACAGCGCTCCGACGTCAGCTGCACTTAAAACCAGGCGTGAGATCAGCTCACTCAAGGACACTCGGAAACGCTTGAAAATTGGCAACTTGGATGTCAAGGGGTATATTGGTGAATTTTCCTAGGTAATGTGAGCAATAGCTTATGATTCAAAGTGTCTTGCTCGTACCTGTTTCAGTCCCTCAGTAAAGTTATCAAGCGAGTCGACAACACCGTCATAGTCTAGAACTTCATCTGCATCCACTGAGTCATTGCACCCACATGCTCGTAGAATACAATTGATAAGCTCTGCTTGAGCGGAACCCGGAGTCTGGGCTAACGAGTCCAAAAAGTCCTCTGCGGTAGACTGCAGTGCCGCGGACGGATTCATGATAGCGTCTACAACAAAAAATGAACAAGGTAGATACAAGGTAGTGGGTTCCGACGCACTGAAAAGAGGATTGTCTGCAGAGATCTTGGTCTCGGTCGCCAGCTTGTCTGCATCGAAGTCTCCGTTGGCTCTAACTTTACGTTTGGCAGGTTTAGGGGTTTTCTGAGGCTTCAGCACAGTATTCTTCGCCATGCGTGGTTTCTTTGGAGGAGGAGGACCCTTAGATTTCGCCTTTGCTTTACGTGACGCAGTGGCCTTTCCCTTCCGTTTGGCAGGGCGGGTATCTGGTTCGTCGTCGTCGTCGTCGTCGTCAACTCCGTCAGCATCATCCTCATCGTCTGCTTCAACCTCAGCGTCACCCATTTCCTGTTCGTCTACCTGGTCGTCCTCCTCCGCATTGCGTTTGCGCTTGTTCGGACTTTGACTTCCTATTCGTGTATCTCGAATCAACGGTACCAACGAGGAAGATGAAGGGGCACGGACCTGAGGCATAGGGTTTTACTTGTTTTTTATCACGCTGAGAGCGTCGTGGGGCTGGCGAGCCCTCAACGTCAGTCATTTTTTGAGATAGTCGGATAGTGGTGTAAGTATTGAGAAGAACAAGAACGCGTCCGAAGTCGCGTGGACGCGTCAATCAGCACTTTTTGCCAGGATCCTCCTAAATTATAACCCTAACCCTAGGTTCAATGTGTTTGTTTCACTGTTCCTTTTGTTGCGTTGAACGTATCGCGAGTCCAATACGCCAGCGAGTCCAGTTGTACCCAGAGTCATGCAAAAGGGTTATTTCGGTGGTACTCGCGATCGACTGTCGACGTTCTGGAGGGAGTGATTTTTTGATCGTCGTCAACCTCCTCAGTCAGGTTGCTCATGACGCGACTAGTAGGAGCCTTTGAAGACTCCAGTGTTTTGCACTCAACCGAGTCAATCGTTTTAGTCTTCTCATCCTACTTCAAGATCACTGCCTACCACTTTGTCCTCTGTGGTTGACACAAGTTGCAGATCGGTCGTGAGGGGATCAGTTTGCAGAAGACACAGTTCGACTTTTGAGGTGAGCCTGAGTTCGTGACTTTGCAGAACCTTGGCGATTATCAGTAAGTAGTTACGCCGCGCACTTTTGACCTCGTGCTGCCATTGATGTTCTTCCATTACAATAGAATCCAGATACGCCCAATGACCTGGCTCTTGGGAAATATTTTCACTATCGTTCCTGATTCCTGCCCATCTGTTTCATATCAGTTTTATCAATCATCTACAATAAACGCCAATGCAGGGTCTCAGAGTTACAAATAGGCCAATGGGCGCCTGCCCTCGATCTAATGCGGCGCTGCCAGGGTAGCGTTTTCACTGCCCAGATAGACCGAATCACTGGCGCTATATCCGCTTTACCTGTTTGGAAATTTGCGGGAGAAAGCGATTGCGGTGTTCTTTTGACGATGTACTACTCTGACACAATGGACGGGTGACTCGTCAGAACAGTGGTTTGCAGAATAGGGTCTGCTCTTGCTCTTCTCGGCCCACCTCCATGATCCCTTTGCGCAGTATTTAGATGCGTCAGCCGACACAGGGCCCGGGATCATTAATCAAAGGGGTGCAAGCCAGGGCGTGAGGTGAATGAGAGGTGGGATGTGTTAAATCTTGGAAGCGGATGGGCAAGGGTGTGGGGCGTAGTTGGAGAAGGCCCGAATTTGATATACCCTTCTGGGCGTCAGGAATTGGAGGACCGTAATGCTAGTGGGTTCGTGTTTAACCCTTCAGAAAGGCGCCTGAGCTCTTTTAAGTCGGACATCCAGGAAGGGGCTCATGGTACTCCTAAGTTCGCAAATCAAGGGTGTGTCATGGAGTGCTTCCTAGCTTCATGTTGATGATCTCAAGCTATTCTTGGGTGAAAGTTTCTATTCCTGCAACTCAATCATATCGCATTATACTCATTTATCTATGTAGTCCCTCTTATCGATCATCGATGGGTCCTCGCAATGCATCAACAATGGACTACCGGCCCGGGGCGCCTTTCCTTAATTTAAAGTCACCGTGGTGGTTTTCCACTGCTTAGATGGATCCCATCACCAGCGGTCTCACTATTCTTCAGCTCGTTCAAACAATAGCCCAAGCTTCAGCTCTCTTGTATGGATATGTTGCTTCCGTCTGCAACGCCGACTCGTCCTGTCAAGATTTGCTCAATGAGCTCAGTGCAGTTGGTGGCGTCCTCACTACAGTCATGGCGATCGAGAGGGACGACTCTCTTCCACCCAATCTCAGCCATGCACTTTCAACCCTGATGGCTACAGACGGACCGGTCGCAAAATTACTGGTGGAACTAAAGAGCATTCTGCCAAACGAACAGGTCGGGAAAATGAAGACGATTTCCAGATTGACGTGGCCATTCAAAGAAAAGGAAGCAGGCGCGATCATCGATAGATTGAAAAACTACTGTGGCGAGATTACGAAAATGTTAGCAATTGACACATGGTGATCTTACCTACTTGTGATGATCGCTAATACTAATGCTATCGCAAGGAACACGCTCAAGGAAGTCAAGCATGAAATCCAGCAAGTCAATTGGATACTCCAGGAACATTCTGCTGCACAAAAGGTGCGCGAACAAGGTGAGTCGCTGACTGTCGGTTTCCTCCTCAATCCGTTCAAACATGCATAGCCAAGGAACGTCGAGAGTTACTTGAATGGATGAACCCTGTGTCTTGTGAAGAAAAACATGCCACCTCCCATGGCCAGCGCAACCCCGGGACCGGTCGTTGGATTTTCCAAAACGATCAGTTTGTAGCTTGGAACAACTCGGATCGCGCATTCCTATGGTTGAATGGCCAGGGTTAGGTTTATCATTTGCCATTGCTTGCAGGTCGCTGATACTCGCAACAGCTGGTCACGGAAAGACTATCCTTGCGTAAGTTTAGACTCGTCTGGAGAACTTTCAGAGCCTACATGGACTTGTTATATTTCAGCTCAGCCGTCGTAGACGAATTCCAGGGTAGCAATCAAGCAAAGCCACAGACGCTCGCCTTCTTCTATTGCAATTTCCGAGACGACAGGACGACAAACGCGGCTGCAGTATTGCGCTCCTTGGTTGTTCAGCTGCTTCAACAATCTAAAGACGACTGGATCACAAAGATAGGCGAGCAGCAAGAATCAAACACAGAACGGGACCTTGATTCTCTGCGAAAGCTCTGGAAGCACCAGCGCGATGGAAAGCCGCATCCCATAGATCTGGGGTTTCTACTGAAGCTTCTTGTTGAAGCGTCTACGCTGGTTTGTCGACCAGTCCTCGTGATTGACGCCTTGGACGAATGCAGGGACTACCCCGAATTGGTCGGGCATCTTGTGAACCTTGCTGAAGACACTCGGTTACGACTTTTCGTTACCAGTAGAAGCGAGCCAGACATCCAAGACGCCTTTTATGGTCTTCCCACCATGCTGCTGAAGGACAGCGCAGAACAGATGAAAGCAGATATATGTGCGCATATTACTGAGCAGCTCAACACTCAGAAGAAATTATCACGCCTACCCCACGAGCTGAAAAAGACAATTTTGGAGAAATTGTTAGGAAAAGCAGAAGGCATGTAAGTAGAGCAATCTCCGCTTGCTCCTCGGAAACTCTATATTGTATCATACGCAGGTTTCGCTGGGTTCAGTGTCAACTGGACGAAATCGTGGCTTGCAAAAGACGTATCGACATTGAGGCGGCCCTCGATAACCTTCCAGCTGGACTCTACGAGACGTATGATAGGATTATTCAGGCTATCAAACGCAGAGGACGAAGTGACTACCAGATCGCCCGGAGTTGTTTGCTTTGGCTAGCCGGCACGTTCACCCCGCTGACGCTTGATCAACTCAACGAAGCAATGATGATTAAAGTCGGACAATCAAATCTTAATCCGGACCTTGGTGTAATGGACCCCATGGATATCGTGGCCGCCTGCGGAAGCCTCGTGACTTACAACGAGAAAACTCAGGTCGTCACTCTATCTCATTATAGTGTCAAAGTGCGATATATTAAACTCCGTCATCCTGCTCTTCCGCTGATGTACTATGGTAACCAGGAATATTTGATCAGTCGTCCTAATAACATCTTCAAATCAATCTCAGACATGCACGCACGGATCTGCGAGCTCTTGATCACGTATGTGTTATGCGACTTTGTGGATGAGATCTGCGCAAAACGTGCAATACTATCTTTCTCGTACAATGAGCCGCGAAGCTGATGTTTGGATAGGTGAACATCCAGCTACACAACCATATTGGTTGGAACGTTGTGCTGATGTTGCCGATGTCAGCAAAGACCATCCGTTGCTAAGCTATGCAATTCTAGGATGGAAGCACCTTGGACATGTTTCGGATGAGGATCCGGATGTTATGCGCGCCCTGTCACGGCTGAACTTGGAGTTTCTTCGAAACAAAAAGAAACATCGTGTTCTTGCAATTCGACAGAGTAGATTTCGCTCCATTACTACTACTACCAATAGGTGGTTGAGTGCTGCCGTGACTTTACCCTCACTTCTATTCATCCCACTTAAGCACGGCAAGCCGTGGATGGTCGAATCTCTAGTCAAGCAACATCCCTATCTCCTGGACGTGGATGTCGCCCCTGGTTGGGGTTCTCCCTTCATGTTTGCCATTGCCAAGAGTTCTGACTGCCTCAGTATTTTCCTGAAGCCAGGTGACCACCTCAACAAGCTTTCTTCCATCAGCCCCCATTCATACGGAATTTGGATTAGCGACGGCTCCTATGCTCCAATTTCCTGGGCAGCTGCGACTGGTAGCGAAGTCGCCGTGGATTTCTTGCTGTCACATACAGGGGTCAACCTACCCAACGATATCCTGTATATGGCTGCTATGGCGAACAAACCGTCACATGAATCTATACGCAAATTTCGCCTGCGCGGTGCGGATGCCAATTTCACAGTTGACGGTCATACCCCTCTCCATCGTTTTCTCTCCAATCGGCCATTCTCTAGCAAACTCCAACCGCTACACATCGTAAAAGCGCTCGTTGAACCGTCTTGTAATCTTTCTTTGCAAAACCGGACTGCCCGAACAGTACTACACATTGCTCTTGATAACTATCTGGAAGATAGTGTCGCATACCTTCTCGAGCAAAACGCTGGGCTGTCAGCAACGGCGACTCTGCTTCCAGACATGTGGATCTGGGCTATGAACAAGACGTGGTTTCCCAAGGTTCAAGAAGCGGTTCTTGCTGCAGATCGACCGTGCACCAGAATTAAGGGAAAGGTTGATGTTACTGCGGAATCCGCAATCGTCGAGTTTTCAGTCGCAGCCACTGCCGGCCGCGATAACCCTAATCCGATTTGCGCTGTCGTTGTTTCAGCGATACTCAATAGCGAGTTCGAGGTGTCAAGTGAGTGACCCTTCCACTCAGCCATATAATTCACCGATTAGTGAAGCATTCGGCCTGTACGTTAATGCCAAGCTTTCATATTGTAACCAGTCACTTCAAAAGAAAGTCCAAGAATCCCCGAAATATAATTCCCCCAGACTCGAGTTAGACTTTGCATGGGAAAGTGGACAGCGTATCTCTAGTCGCTTGTTCGATTATCATCAAGAAGACAAAGTTACCAGGATGCTACAGCAGTTAACCGAAGATGAAGACTTGACGGGCACCTCCCTTTTTCTTGAGTTGCGCAGTCACACGTCCTGTGTCTCTGAACTTGAGTACATACTCGACATCTATAGAGGTCCTTTGCCTTATTCTTGATGTATGTGGTAATTTTTTTTAAATAGTGTTTTCATCCTTAACGGACAGGCCAGTGTAGTTGTATATCCGTCGTGTTCATTGTTGGCGCATTCTTTGACCTTCTCATGTACAATTGTCGACCAGTACGAGTACGTCTGAATTCATGTAACCGTGAGTCACTGCCTTTATTATGACTGCTTTCCTTATCTGGCTTGGGGAGGCTATCAAACACCTTGTTTCGATCAGAACAGTGCCAAACCACTCGCAGTAATGTTACCAATGTATGATATGGTGATGAGACGAACATAAGCGAGTCTACGCCGTAACGCTGGTGTCAGAATGCTCGTAGACGTACACATAGCGATAACGAGAGTATAGCATTGATAATGGCGACATGGAGGCGTGGCAGATAGATAAACGTAACTCTATGTAGGCGAATGCTTTCCGAGGAAAGAGCAAGCTGAAGAAAAATGAAAGGCAGGAAAGAAAAGGAGACCTGACAAGTGACAACGCGATGAGACTGACCTTCAGTGTGTGCCATCGCTCCTCGTCTGCTCCATGCTAATCCCTGCTGTTCTCTGGTATGTGCTCGTCGTTCCGCGAGGTGATGATTAATAATTTTCAATACCATACACCCCATGCTGCTCCTAATGATCCTGTCGGTACTCCTGCCGTTGAAAGGCTGCTTGTCCTACGTCCCACGATACTCTCTGATGTCTCGGCGTAGTCTCATGGTACCGTGACCCGAAGCTGAAACGCTGCCATCGAAACGGAAAAGGGAGCTCGTTGAAGGACGCTTGAGACGAGGACGAACTTGTATTTGTGTAGGGAAAGACGGTTGTGTTTACAGAGCGGGTCCTGAGTAATGGAGTGCTTGAGACGGAGCATACAATGTTGGTGTGGAACACGCCAAACTGCACGTAGTGAGGCACGTTATGATCGGAAGAGGTGGAGATAATTCAGGCATTATAAGAGGCGAAGCTTTAGGCAGGGAGTGAGATGATGAGTGGCGGATGCAACATGAAATAGAGGGCCTAGACGTCACCGGCAGCTTTGGCACAGACAAGGCTCAGCCCTGGAATCTTTGATTTGTAGCACTTTCTGATCGTACGTAGTTTTTTCAGAGTTCCTGGCGAAAGACAGGTTTAGGTAGCTAGCTAGATTTGAACTCTATACAGCGAGGATCAGAACAAGAACGTCGATGGGTTTAACCGGCGCGGTAATGGAAAGGTTGGTATCGGGCCGAACTTCCGAAGGCCCAAGGTTACATAACCCTACACCTGGACCCGTTATTTCTCAAACGCCATCATGCTCTTTCTTAGAATTGATACTTAATGCACTCAAATTGTGCAGCATATACCCCAACAGAGCGATGAAGGCACAACCATGGCACGGAACGAAGGTAAGGAGCACAACGGTGTGTGGTGGTGTTCTGTTCTCGAGTTACTACTAGCAGTAGCGAGATGCTTCCACGTCGGATAATGTGGCACGAGACGAGGCTTTCGCAAGAGTACACGTCTATTCACTCGAGTGAGCGACGGGCTTGGGTAGAATTTGAGTAGTGGAGTGGCGCCACGCGTGCAGCAAACGCTTGAAGACAAAATAAATCACCACATTATGTAGCACATGGAGGAACACGCACACTGAGGTACAGTTTATGTTTTCCTTGCACGCTGTCTCACACTTACATTAGTCTGCTCCTAGACTCGTTCTAGGTATAATCAATGTCATAGCGGTTCTGTCTGCAACGCTGAGGTACAGTTTATGTTTTCCTTGCACACTGTCTCGCACTTACATTATTTTGTTCCTAGACTCGTTCCTTAGTTCCACTTACAACATAACGAAGCGCACTTTGTTGATATCAACGTTGAAACGTTAACACATCGAAGTTACTAGTACCGATGTGCTCCCGCAGGTGAGTACTAGAGCCTCCGACTCGGATTCGATCGTTATGCGTGCCCCGGAGTGCTAAACGGAACAATCAGAACATAATAAAATGAGGTTTCATTGGTTTAAACAAATTGAATCATAATATTGCAACATTTGCAGTCGGCTCAGGATCGACAGGTAATGCAGAAATCCATACTAAAAACCATTTTCAGTATGGGTCCGGCCCAAAAGAAGTCTAGAGAAGTGTATCAATTCCTACTTCTATTCCGTTCACGGCACTTCTCAAACAGCTGTAAGCTGTTCCATTGCTCACGTAGGCGTATAAAATGAGTACGGCTGGTTGATGTGGACCTCCACCCCAGTTCTCTCCCCCTTACACACCGGTTACAAATGCCCTCCAAGGCAAGATCATTGCTCGAGCTCACCAGGCTTCACTGGTTTCCAGTGGGGTCTGACTTCATTGTTCTGGCCTTTCGGTAAGCCAAAAGATGCATGGGGGACACTACTCGTCGGCTGATTTTATTGTACCTAGCGTGGGGCTCGCTGGCGGCATCATACTATGTAGCATTACCCATGAATGAAGTTGTCATGAACACTTTGTTCTATGCGTTGTTAGGCACACTGGTATATAGTTGCGTCATCAATGACATGCTTGATCGCGAGTTCGGTCGCAAAGTTGGTATGTCGATTCCGTTCCGATCGATGGGAGGTGGGATGTATCAAATCTTGGAAGCAGGTGGGCAAGGGTGTGGGGCGTAGTTGGCGAAGGTCCGAATTTGATATACCCTTCTGGGCATCAGGAATTGGAGGACCGTAATGCTAGTGGGTTCGTGTTTAACCCTTCAGAAAGGACGCCTGAGCTCTTAAGTCGGACAATCACGAAGGGCTTAGGGTACTCCCAAGCTTGCAAATCAAGGGGTGCGTCATGGAGTGCTTCCTAGCTTCATGTTGATGATCTCAAGCTATTCTTGGGTGAAAGTTTCTATTCCTGCAACTCAATCATATCGCATTATACTCATTTATCTATGTAGTCCCTCTTATCGATCATCGATGGGTCCTCGCAATGCATCAACAATGGACTACCGGCCCGGGGCGCCTTTCCTTAATTTAAAGTCACCGTGGTGGTTTTCCACTGCTTAGATGGATCCCATCACCAGCGGTCTCACTATTCTTCAGCTCGTTCAAACAATAGCCCAAGCTTCAGCTCTCTTGTATGGATATGTTGCTTCCGTCTGCAACGCCGACTCGTCCTGTCAAGATTTGCTCAATGAGCTCAGTGCAGTTGGTGGCGTCCTCACTACAGTCATGGCGATCGAGAGGGACGACTCTCTTCCACCCAATCTCAGCCATGCACTTTCAACCCTGATGGCTACAGACGGACCAGTCGCAAAATTACTGGTGGAACTAAAGAGCATTCTGCCAAACGAACAGGCCGGGAAAATGAAGACGATTTCCAGATTGACGTGGCCATTCAAGGAAAAGGAAGCAGGCGCGATCATCGATAGATTGAAAAACTACTGTGGCGAGATTACGAAAATTTTAGCAATTGACACATGGTGATCTTACCTACTTGTGATGATCGCTAATACTAATGCTATCGCAAGGAACACGCTCAAGGAAGTCAAGCATGAAATACAGCAAGTCAATCGGACACTCCAGGAACATTCTGCTGCACAAAAGGTGCGCGAACAAGGTGAGTCGCTGACTGTCAGTTTCCTCCTCAATCCGTTCAAGCATGCATAGCCAAGGAACGTCGAGAGTTACTTGAATGGATGAACCCTGTGTCTTGTGCTGAAAAACATGACACTTCCCGTGGCCAGCGCAACCCCGGGACCGGTCGTTGGATTTTCCAAAACGATCAGTTTGTAGCTTGGAACAACTCGGATCGCGCATTCCTATGGTTGAATGGCCAGGGTTAGGTTTATCATTTGCCATTACTTGCAGGTCGCTCATACTGGCAACAGCTGGTCATGGAAAGACTATCCTCGCGTAAGTTTGAACTCGTCTGGAGAACTTTCAGAGCCCACATGGACTTGTGATGTTTCAGCTCAGCCGTTGTAGACGAGATTCAGGGTAGCGATCAAGCAGCACAGACGCTCGCTTTCTTCTATTGCAATTTTCGAGACGACAAGACGACAAACGCGGCTGCAGTATTGCGCTCCTTGGTTGTTCAGCTGCTTCAACAATCTAAAGACGACTGGATCACAAAGATAGGCGAGCAGCAAGAATCGAACACAGAATGGGACTTTGATTCTCTACGAAACCTCTGGCAGCAACAACGCGATGGAAAGCCGCATCCCACAGATCTGGGGTTTCTACTGAAGCTTCTTGTTGAAGCGTCTACGCTAGTTCGCCGACCAGTCCTCGTGATTGATGCCTTGGACGAATGCAAAGACTACCCCGACCTGGTCAGACATCTCGCAAACCTTACCGAAGACGCTCGACTACGACTTTTCGTCACCGGTAGAAGCGAGCCAGACATCAAAAAAGCTTTCCATGACCGCCCCACCGTATCGCTGAAGGACCGCGCTAAACAAATGAAAGCAGATATACATCTGCATATCACGGAGCAGCTCAAGACCCGAGAGCGCCTGTCATGCCTACCCGAACCACTCAAAGAGACTATATTAAACAAACTGTCAGGAAAAGCCGAAGGGATGTAAGTAAAGCGGCATCGTGATTCACTCGCTCCTCGGAGATTTATTGTCGTATGATCACACGCAGGTTTCGCTGGGTTCAGTGTCAACTAGATGTCATCATGAAGTGCAAAAGACCTGACAGTATTCGGAAAGCCCTCGACAACCTTCCGGCAGGACTATACGAAACGTACGATAGGATTCTTAACTCCATCGATGAAAGAGGGCAAGATGATTTCTCGATTGCCCAGCGTTGCTTGCTTTTGGTAGCCGGCGCATTCACCCCTTTGACTCTTGACGAACTCAATGAAGCGATGATGATCGAAGTGGGACGGCAGAGTCTTAATGAGGACCTTGGCGTTACGGACACTATGGATATCGTGGTTGCATGCGGAAGTCTCGTGACCTACAACGAAAAAAATGGTGTCGTCACTCTATCTCATTATAGCGTCAAAGTATGATATATTGAACTCCATCATCCTACTCATGCGCTGATGCGCTATCCAACCAGGAATATTTGACCAGTCGCCCTAATAAGATTCTGAAATCAATCTCAGATATGCACGCACGGATCTGCGAGCTCTTGATCACGTATGTGTTATGTGACTTTGTGGATGAGATCTGCGCAAAAGGTGCAATTCTATCTTTCATGTACTATGAGCCACGAAGCTGATGTTTGGATAGGTGAACATCCAGCTACACAAAGAAGTCCATTTTTTTGGGAACGTGCTGATGTTGCCGATGTCAGCAAAGACCATCCGTTGCTAAGCTATGCAATTCTAGGATGGAAGCACCTTGGACATGTTTCGGATGAGGATCCGGATGTTATGGACGCCCTGTCACGGCTGAACTTGGAGTTTCTTCGAAACACCAAGAAACATCATATTCTTGCAACTCAAAAGAGTGAATTTCACCTCACTACTACTACCAATAGGTGGTTGAGTGCTGCCGTGACTTTACCCTCACTTCTATTCATCCCACTTGAGCACGGCAAGCCGTGGATGGTCGAATCTCTAGTCAAGCAACATCCCTATCTCCTGGACGTGGATATTGCCCGTGGTTGGGGTTCTCCCTTGATGTTTGCCATTGCCAAGAGCCCTGATTGCCTCGGTATTTTCCTGAAGTCAGGTGACCGCCTCAACAAGCTTTCTTCCCTCAGACCCGGTTTTTACTACGGAATTTATATTGATGACGGCTCCTATACTCCAATTTCGTGGGCAGCTGCGACTAGTAGCGAAGTCGCCGTAGATTTCTTGCTGTCACAAACAGGGGTCAACCTACCTAGTGATATTCTGCATATGGCTATTAGGGCGCACGAACCGTCACATGAATCTGTACGCAAATTTCGCCTACGCGGTGCGGATGCCAATTTCACAGTTGACGGTGATACCCCTCTCCATTATCTCCTCTCCAATCAGCTACGCTATGCCGAAATCCAACCGCTACCCATCGTAAAAGCGCTCGTTGAACCATCTTGTAATCTTTCTTTGCGAGACCGGACTGCCCGAACAGTACTACACATTGCTCTTGATAACCATGTGGAAGGTGTTGTCGCGTACCTTCTCGAGCAAAACCCTGGGCTATCAGCAACGGCGACTCTGCTTCCAGACATGTGGAGCTGGGCTACAAACAAGACGTGGTTTCCCAAGGTCCAAGAAGCAGCTCTTGCTGCTGATCAACCGTACACCAGAATTAAGGGAAAGGTTGATGCTACTGCGAAATCTGCAATCGTCGAGTTTTCAGTTGCAGCCACTACCAGCCGCGATAACCCTAATCCGATTTGCGCTGTCGTTGTTTCAGCGATACTCAATAGTGATTTCGAGGTGCCAAGTGAGTAACCACTTCCACTCAGCCGTATAATTCACCCATTAGTGAAGGCTTCAAGCTCATTAATACCAACCTTTCGTATCGTAATCAGTCACTTCAAAAGAAAGTCCAAGATTTCCCGAAATATGATTCCCCCAAACTCGAGTCCAGTTTTTTATGGGAAAGTGGGCAGCGTGTCTGTAGTTGCTTGTTCGACTACTATCATCAAGAAGACAAAGTTACCAGGATGCTACAGCAGTTAACCGAAGACTCAGACTCGACTGGCACCTCCCTTTTTCTTGAGTCGTCCTATTCAGATGGGAACCCGTTCGGCAAAGTTTGTGTCTCTGAACTTGAGTGCATACTCGACATCTATAGAGGTCCTTTGCCTTATTCTTGACGTATGTGATAATTCTTCTCAAACATCCAGTGTCCTCATCTTTGACGGACAGGATACTATACCAGCGGTCATCAATCATCTGGGATTATGAGGAGTTGTATGCTAGTGTAGTTATACATCCGTCAGTTCATTGTTTTTTGCCGCATTCTTTGACCTTTTCATATACAATCGTAGTACGAATACGGGGAGGCTATTAAACACCTTGTTTCGATCAGAGCAGTGAACCACTCTCAATAATGTTACCCATGTATAATATGGTGATGAGAAGAACATAAGCGAGTCTTCGCAGATGCTCAGGATGTTCGTAGACGGACACATAGCGATAACGAAAGCACAGCATTGATAATGGGCGACATGGAGCTATGGCGGACATCATGAACGTATCGAAACTCTATGTAAGCGAATACTTTGAACTGAAAACCGAGGAAAGAGCAAGCTGAAGAAACATGAAAGGCAGGAAAGAAAAGGAGACCTGATAAGTGACAACGCGATGAGACTGACCTTCAGTGTAAGTACGCCACCGCTCCTCATCTGCTCCATACTTATCCCTACTGTTTTCTGGTATGCGTTTGTCGTTCCGTGAGGTGACTATTAATATAGTTCCAATACCATACACCCCACGCTGCTCCCAATCATCCTGTTGGTACTCCTGCCGTTGAAAGGCTGCTTGTCCTACGTCCCACGATACTCTCCAATGACTCAACGCAGTCTCATGGTACTGTGACCCGAAGCTGAAATGCTGCCGTCAAGACGGAAGAGGGAGCTTGTTGCAGGACACTTGAGACGAGGGATATTGATTAACTTGTATTTGTGCAGGGAAAGACGGTTGTGTTTACAGAGCGGGTACTGAGTAATGGCCCTGCTTGAGACGGAACAAACGATGTTGTTGGTGTGGAACATACCAAACTGCACGTACTGAGACAAGTTAGGATCGGAAGAGGGAGGAGGTAATTTAGGCATTGTAGGAGGTGAAGCTTTAGGCAGGGAGTGAGATGATGAGCGGCGGATGCAACATGAAATAGAAGGGACGTCACCGACAACTTTGGCACAGAATTTGGGGTTTAACCGGCGCGGTAATGGCCAAATCAGGAAAGATTGGTGTCGGGCCGAACTTCCGAAGGCCTCACTTGAAAGCTTAACAAGTCAATCAACTTTTGAACGACATTTTATTTTAGACTTGACCAGCTAGCCGCTGGCCAGCTTGGGGCTGAATATGACCTTTCATTCACAAGAGTTCTGCTTCAGGATTGACTCGATGGTGGCTATCCGCCATTCAAATTGCGCATTTTGGATGGCTGAAGCTTCAGGCCGAGGTATGTACAGGGAACTGGTTACTGAACCGCCGATTTGCCGCCGATCATTTCTAGGTCAACGATAGATGGAATCATGCCTTTTCATTCATCGATACCGTCGAGATCGTTCCAGTATTTCGTGGGACTGACGACCAGCCTCCGGCTTCACTCAGAAGTGCTATTTGTAGCTATAGCATAACTTGGATGTGACTCAGTGTGAGTCGCATATCTTTCGCTTATATATTACATTAATTAACCTACCAAGCCTTATAGTAGTATCATACAGAACCTCTATACAGTTCACTTTCTCCAATTCATCACTTCTCGAAGGGTGCGATCGATCATGTCCCAACAACAGCTGGACGAAGAGACGCCTTTGCTGCCGCCCTTGCAGCGGAAGGCCAGGACACCATTGCCTTGGCGTCAATTCTCTATCATACTGTTTCTCCAGCTCGCGGAACCACTTACTTCACAAGTTATCGCCCCCTTCGCACCTCAGGTTTGTTTTTTCATGGCTGAATCAATTGATAAGTTTTTGATGCTTGCCGCGTACCAGTTAATAAGAGATATCGGGATTACAAATGGCGATGAAACCAGTGTAGGGTACTATGTCGGACTGATGGTGAGTCTGACTTGCACCATGCTTATACCTCACCTTCAAGTATATGCAGTACTCCCTATTCTTTGCAACACAAGCGCTCACCGTTCTTCATTGGAGTCGTATATCGGACCACATTGGACGGAAGCCTGTCATTTTGACAGGCCTGTTTGGACTATCTATCTCTATGTATTGTTTCGGCCTATCTACAACATTTTCTGGACTCGTACTAAGGTTCGATCATTTTGTTCTGCTGCGATGGTTCTGATCTATCTTCTTTCAACACCTTCCAACACTCAGCCGTGCTCTTAACGGTGCTTTGAACGGCAACGTCGGCGTAATCAAAAGTATGATGGTGGACATTACCGACTCTACCAACTTGGCCCAGGCGTATGCATATATGCCTTTAGCTTGGTCAACGGGTGGGACCATTGGGTACGTACCTATGTGATAATTTATATCGTATCTGGAAATGAGATAATCTTTGCAGCCCCCTTGTAGGTGGATTGTTATCACGTCCAGTTGAACAATTTCCGAACGTCTTCGGTCATTCTCAATTCTTGAAGACTTATCCATATTTCCTTGCATGCGCTGTACCTGCCACCTTCTCTGCACTGGCTTGGATCGTGACGTTCCTTTTCTTGCGAGAGGTGCGTTCTTTTGAACTAGCATGCAAGCATAGGAGTTGATGACATGTGATTGTCAGACTGTACTCACCAGGGTGACTCTCGGGCGTTTTCTCAGGAGCAAATACCACAAAGATACCATCCCTGGCCCCGTGACTCCAACAGGATCAAGTGATTCCCTGAGCGCAGAAGATGCTGCTCGACCTGCAAACGGCGATGACTCCAAACCACTACCTCTTCGCTCGCTGTTGACTCCCAGAGTGATCATAGCTGCTGGAAACTACGCTGCTTTGTCATTTCTTGATATCGCATTTCGTGACATACAACCTCTGTTCTTCGCCACACCGATAGAACTCGGTGGGTTGGGATTAGATCCTCCGCGAATCGGTAACATCCTAGCTATCTATGGTGTGATCAACGGCTTGTTCCAAATCCTTTTCTTCGCCGATCTGCATGACCGATTCGGCTCAAAGATAATATATTCTGCAGCAATGGCTGCCGGAGTTCCAATGATTGTCATTTTCCCCATCCTCAATGCTGTCGCAAGAGCACAGGGTTTGAGCTTCGTATTATGGGCGATTGTTGGCCTGCAACTTGCTCTCTCGATGATATTAAATCTTGCATATGGTCAGTTCCTGCATCGTATTACTATTCCTTGTGTTGACCACGACCTCTTTCAGCTTGCGTATTTATCTATATCGCAGCAGCGTCTCCGAACCAAGCGTCTTTTGGTGCAACGAATGGGATCGCTCAGCTGGGAGTGTCGATCGTGCGAGCCATCGGCCCCGCATCCGCTACATCCACGTTCTCGTTATCTATCAAGAATCCCCACCACGCATGGATCATCTATTATTATATGATTGCCCTGGTCTGCATAGGGATCTTCGCATCACTGTTCCTTCCTCGGCAGTTATGGAAGAATCAAAACTGACGGCTCTTATGCCCCGCGGGTGTGTTTGTGTGCGTCGAGTGGATACCACTGGAGTACGTGCATGATATGGGAGAAGTTGAAGAAGGTAGACTGTCGACCTCCTCCACCTTTGCCGCAAAAAAGGCTAGCTGCACCAGGGGTTGGCCTAGAATTCTTGTAGACAGGATTGTGTACATAAACAAAACGCTGGCTTCCGTACTATCAAATGTAAGGTGCAACGCTGAGTGCGATATATGAAAAGCGCGAGTGACCTCGCATCAAAGGGTTGCATGTTCCTCTCTGATTCCCCCTGGAGCGCAAGAAATAGCAAAAAAGTCGTTTCGACATCAGATGTTCTATAAAGAATTACCGGAAGCATTCGGACGAGCATACCTAAGCATTGAAAACCATTCGCATTAACACCGAGGCTACAATGAAGAAACAAAAGTGAGTCTATGGATTTAAATGATGATGCTTGTATAGACAGTAAATTTGAAGAAATACACGAAAAAAAACAAAAATACACTGAAATGGAAAAAACAGTGATTCCAGCCATTAATCAGAGTGGTGTGATATATACACAGATAGAGATAGAGATGAATGGACGAGAACAGAACGAATAGACAAGATAAGCAGAAAAGGAATAAACAGGAGCTATACGGGAGACATTCATAAAATTAGCTATATAGCTAATGACAAATTCCAGGAAGATACGATAGCGAAAAACAGAAGATACGATGGGTAACCTAGACGTACATATAGCGATGGCGAGGGAAAGCATTGGCAAGGAGCGACATCAAGGCATAATGGGCATAACGAGCGTATTAGTTACATGGGCGAAGACTGGAACTGGAAGCTGAGGAAAGAGCAGTGAAGAGGGCGGGAGGGGAGGGCGGATCACTCTTGATAACGCACTTGAGGTTGCGCAGGGTATGAGCTCCAATACTGACCCTCGCTCCCCTCAGTCCACGTCTGCTCCATATATCCTTGTTGTCCCCCCGCGTACCCCTGTTGTGAGGCGAGGTGCTGGTCTAATGACGATTTGACGCCATACACCGCTTGCTGCTCCCCAGGATATTCCTGTTGATATTCCTGCCGTTGAGCGGGCTGCTTCTCCTGCGATCCATAATACTCCCTCACAAGACCAGTTTCAGGGAACTGCGGGCCAAAACTGAAACGACCCGGCTGTTGCTGTTGCTGTTGTTGAGACGGAAGAGGGTGCTCGCTGTAGGACGCTTGGGATGCAGGAAATTGAGACGCTTGTATTTGTGTAGGAAAAGATGGTTGCGGCTGTGGAGCAGCTCCTGAGTAATGGGGCAATTGGGACGGAGGAGCAAATGATGTCGGTGTGGAGGGAGGGCCGCCGAATTGCGCATATTGGGGGGTGTCCGGATATGAAAACGGTGAAGCGGAAGAGCTGGCATAGTCATAAGGTGTGAATTTTTGGGCAGGCTAAAATTGCGTTGAGCGGGTGAGTGGATGTGAAAAAAGGATAAGAAACACACCTGAGGCTGAGGCTCGTAAGCAGCCCCAAACGGTAATGAGAAATCAACCCCGCCTTCTTGTGACATAGAAGTAGGCGTAGAATGATAGGAAGACCGATCAATGGGCGTTGAGACGAGGGAAGACGGTTGGAGGGGAGCCACGGAAGGTGGCTGAGACATCACGGAGTGCTGAGATGCAGACATTGATTGACTAGACGTTGGCATCGGTTGACTGGACGCAGGTATCGACTGATCTGACATGGAGACCGGTTGGCTAGATGTCGGCATTGACTGACCAGATATTCCCTGTGTCGTTGTTGTTGTTGTAGGCGTGCCAACGCTTGCAGGCCGCACCCTGGCAAGCGGAGACGGCTCCTTTCCAGGACGCACGCGAAATCCAACGGACGGGTACGAGGTCTTCTTACGATCCTTGTCTTTCTCCTTTGAGCGGTCTTTGCCTTTGTCCCCCTGCTCTCGTTCACGTTGACCATCCTTGAGCAAATCTCGATCCTTTACACGATCCTTCCGAGGCGGAAACTTGGATGGAATGACAATCGCAGGATATGTCCGTCTTGGTTCTGAGGCCGAACTGTCCTCCTTGTTGGCATCATTCGTGGTCGAGGTGTTCTCGGCAGCATTGGAATTGGAACCAACGTGAGATGCAGAACGTAGCTTGGGTTCCTGGGTAGAAACGACAGGGACGGGGATGAGAGGAACATTTTCCTCGCCATTACCACCCCCACCCGAACCACCAGGTACAGGAACAGCATCCCGTCCATCACCTTCATCCCATCCCTCTCTCTTCCTCTTTGACCCACTCCCAGCGCCTGAACCACCCGAATCGAGTTTCCGGATGAGCGCCTCCAGAACACTCAGATCCAACGCAGGACAGAGATCCCGAAGGTCCCGAAGCAGCCCAAGACCCATCTTAGCATCCTCCACAGCCGTGCGCGCCCACACAGCCGATGGGTCACGGAGAGCACTGGTAGCACAAACAATAGAGGCGTCAAACAACGCTTTCGAATATCCCATTTCAACTCCCCGGCTAAATCCTATCACGAGATCAGAAAATTGAAGTGAAGAAGGGAACGAAAAATAGTATACCTGAATGAACATCATAGATGAGGCCGCAACAAAAACTTAATCCAAGCCCGTCCTTCCTCCGTACCAAATCAGGCCGCGTACACGCAAGCTCGACAAAATCTCTCCCAGCTCTGATAACTCCATGTGCAGCTGTGAGCGCGCCTACGCGTGCTTGATGAATCTGCGGGCTAGTTTCACGTCTCACATTAGAGTGAGAGTCAGATTGAGATGACGGGGACGAATGGGGACGTAAGGACGGGAGGTACAACCCCATAGCCAGTCTATGCGTCGTCATCAATATGTCAAGACGCTGAGCAAGGAGTGTCGGTGGTGTGCCTCCATGACTTGCGTTGGATGACAGCGCCATGGAAGACTGAGGGGGCACGCATGATTCCTCGCCCATCCCCTCGTTCCCACGAAATGCGGGTGGGAGATCTGATAGCCATTGCTTGATCTCGACTTCGCATTGGGACGCGTGCTCGAGGGATAACAGGACTGAGGGTTGTTCGAGAGATGATAGTAAGGAAGTGCGGAAGTTGATATCTTTTACGAGCTGCGCGAGTCTGTAGTGATAGAGAAAGTCAGTGACGCGCAAAGGGTGTAGCTAGGTATCACTGACCTTACTCTCATCCCAAACCACCTTCCCACGCCCTCTTTGCCCGTCGGGCTTAGGAGAGGTGCAGACGTACACGCGGACGTGAACACTTCCTCGTCAACATCAAGCGGTAGGCGGGTGCTGAACGCGTGCAGAGGAATGAGCGGAGCACGTGAAGATAGAGTTGACGTATATCTGTGGAGAAACTAAATTAATGTGATTTAGATGATGCGATTCAGTAACTCACGCATCCCACCACCAAATATCCCACCATGCCCGCCGGCGCGCCTCGCTCTCATACAGGCCATACTTGCCAGGTGTGAGGTCAGGGTCGACGCCGAGCCCCATAGTACGTGCGATGTTGACAAGTTTGCCGATCTGTGAGAGTAAGAGTCAGTTAACATTTCTTTATGCATTCGGCCGGAGCTGAAGTACAGAAAGGGAACGGAAAACTTGTGGAATACAGTGGGGGCGGTAAAGCCAAATGCAACAAGAACGAGGCAGAAATAGGACAGGAAGAGGAAATAATTAAAAGACATGAACATTAGAGTCGAAACGCGATAGAAGCGGTGGCACAAGAACAGTCAACACCCAGAAAAGGAATGATCGCGACGATCACGATGTGATGGGAAGGATCTACGGATCGTGGAGACCGAGCAGAGAACTAAAGTTGAAAGGCCCCGTGCGCAACTTCCATCAAGAAGTCACATGCCTGCTCCGATTCACCGCAGATCGCAGAAGATTGGAAACAAAGGGGATATACCGCTCACCTCTCCTAGAATCCATCCCTCCTTCGTATTGCTCGTAGCACTTCCATTTCCATGTCTCTCCGTCGTACATCCTTTATCGCAAAGCACTACAAACAGCACGCCGAGCACAATCGCAGCTACATAATCCAAGTCGTACTCGCTCGCATGTGCACTATTTGAATTTGACCCTGAATTGGACAAGGCTACGCCACCCTCCCACACGCATAGTGCTTGTCGAGACAATGCATGAAGAAGCGCAGGAGAGGTCAGGTTTTCTTTCGGTGACGGATCTTTCCTCGACTTCTTTGGCCCCAGTAAGGTACCCGTCCTATCGTTGTGTGCGGCCCTTTCAGATTCAGAAGGAGGTCCAGGATGAGTGGAGCTGGAGCTCTGCAGGGCAGCGCTAGCGCTAGCGGCGCTCTCTTCAACCAATAATGCCAATGCGAAAGCACCCGAAACGGATGCGAACAAGGGAAGGGATGGAGTAAGAGCTTTACTTGAAGTCTGGGAAAGAGCCTTATGCGAAGGCGGAGGCGAAGGTGGAGGAGCGGGCAGTGGACCGAAAAAAATAGTGCGGGCTGTATCTGTTTTACTTGTGTCTGCGGGTGTACGAGAGGAAGAATTTGAGGCGTTCGGGTTCGTTGACGACGCACTCGGACGAGATGGCTCGTCTGAGGAGTCGTTTGTTGAACATGATGTGCTCTCACATTCCCCATATCTCCATATGCCTTCTGCGCGCTCTTTCCAGACGCGCCAGCTGAAACAGGGCCCAGGGATCATCCTAAAGGCTTCTTCTGCATGTTCATATAGGCGGGTGCGGCGGCGTGGGGCGAATGGGAGATGGGCGAGCAGGGATTTCATGAAAATGGGTGAAGAGGATGAAGACGGATGTGGGGCATAGTAGCAGGAGATTGGGGGCAGCAGGAGGGGGAGAGGAAGAGATGACGGGGGATTTGAAGAGGGTAAGGGTAGGGTGGGATGAGATGCAGGTTCAGATTTAATATACCCCTCCCGTGAGTCGGAACTAGACGATTGTACTGGTAACGACTCTGTTATGTCAATCTCTTCCCACCAGATAGCTGTGATATCGTCTATGGAGGGCTCGTGTGGGTTGTACGAGTTGACGGTGTGGATAGGTAATTGGATGGTTGTAGACGATGAAGAAGAGGAAGGAAAACGGACACCTGGTGCTGATATTTGAGCGAGCTGCGACTCGACTGTTATGAGTCTGTTGTTGAGGGAATGAAGGTCACTATTGGGATGGGGGAATCAAATTTGGCAAGAGAGGAAGGGAGGCATGAACGGACACTTTCTCAGCAGCAGCAGGGGAGTATATACATCTTGCGACCGTATCACGCTTGGTACAAGAACCACATGGTGCTCGACGATCACATTTCAGTTTGAGACGTTTGCACTATTAGACGTGTGAGTGAGTTAGCACAGCAATGAAATTTTGCACAAACCTCTGCGCAGACAACGGTCACGCGAGAGCGAACTTGTCTGTAAGGATATTAGAAAGAAGAAAAAAAGAAGAGTGGTGATTTAAGGGAAGACGAAGAAGGACTCACGGGCCAATTGCTTGGGCAAGGTGCTCACCGCTACTGCTCGGGTCCATCACAAGTAGACCTCCGAGTGGAATCTAAGTAGTCAGTAAAACGAGTTCGTCGCTATCGTTCGTTCGTCGTCGTCGTCGTCGTTTGACTTGATAGGACACAAGAACAAGCGCTAAAGAAAATAGTAAAGGTGACGAGAGTACCTCCACTACGGCGGTGCTCCAGGTCCGAGACCCCGTAAGACCTTCAAACGGGATAAACAAACACCCCTGTTCGGACGACTTACATCCAACTATAATTTCCGCTTCGGTGCCTACAGTTAAGTACTTACACTTTGTAACCTAGCTATAGGATCCATGCTGGCCACGTTGCCATATCCTTCCACCGACCTTCGCAGCCTTCTTTGCACTCAGCGTCTATGTATCCTTCTCATGATCCGAGGTTTAATTAGAGTCGAAAATTAATTTTGGGGTATCACTGTCCATATTTTCTATACAAGATTTTCCAGCTCATTAAAAATCCGGAGCTTTTTTCACCAAAGCCTGTTAATTCTGCAAAGAGGTCGTGCAGAAATCGATAAAGTTAACAACCCAAGCAAAGTATTAAGAAAACTCGCAGCGAAAATCTTGCATTTCCCTATCACCACGGTTTTAATGGTTATGACATATGAAAGTACCTTGTGCCTTCCTGCGGACGCACGCCCATCCGTCGATTCCAAAGTATACATCCCGGCCAAATTTAAAAGCTTGACGGCAGCCTTTCTCATGTCGGCTCACATACTGGACTCACCCCTAATTCGTAGTCAAGGCTCAATGGTACTCGACCCTGGCAATCATATCGGCATCCAAATCGGTCGCTTCAAATTCTAGGCCATGTCAGATAGACCACTCTGGGCAAATGCTGAACATTACAAGCTCAGGCCTGCGGGCTCGAGGTCTCGTGACGCTCTCTTCCTTCCTCGGGATCGGGCTCTCCCGATTCGCAGAGGTCAGTAATACCCCAATACCCTTGTTATGCTTCTCACTTGTTCCCAACATGTTCGTACCCACGATATAGTGTCTTTGATAGGTACGCGCGTCAAAGTTACACCATACGTCATAACGAGCAGAACTCAGCTGTTTGCAAAAATCTTGGCTCTGGCGGCATCTCTTAAAATAAGTGTGCTCATGTCAATAAATGCCACCATAGTAATATGCCAACCGTCACGCGCCTATCATTTCTTGACAAGACGTTGAACGACAAGATATATTAGTATAAGAGACTGGGTTACTCACATGATGATAACCGAGGCGCAAATTTGTCCCAGACAACATCCGACAAAAACAGCTTGTTAATCGCATGAACGTGCAAATCCCTTCTCAAGACTCGATATGTTTCTCGATTCTTGCAAGAAAGCAATTAAACCCACGAGCCCCTGGGGCTCGGTGGGGATAGACGAACTGAAAATTCACAGTCCACACCATAGCAATATTATGGATAAACAAGTACTAAATTGAACTTGCCTCGTAATATCATGACACTCTGGATTACTCAAAACGCGCCGAATATATTATTTTGAGCTTTCGTTACACAGTGACCAATGCACATCAGAAATATTGCTCTGCCGCATAGCCTACAAAGCAGCGAAGGCGTCTGGTCTCTGCCGTCGAAAATCAGCAGAGAAAAAACAGACAATGATCCAAACATACATTAGTAGTAACGACTCGAACAGCACCTACAACAAAGCCTCGAACACGGCCACAATGAATTGCAAACTGTATTCTGACCAAGAGTGGTACCGTTACGAAACAATCTCGCAATGATGTTTCGGCCTTTGGGTATGGTGCAATCAACCCAGAAAGCTATAGCTGTGGAATGGAGTTGCGTAACATGCCCTTAATCCAATTGGAATAGTACAACCACACACCTGATAGTGCTAAATTGACCGCTAAGAAGCAGACTAGCTTCAACCATTCGCTAGCGACTCGGAATAAATCGCACACACATAGTAAGTGGGAATGTAATCGTGCGAACTTTGTAGTTGTTTTTGCTGCCTCGAACTCGTCTCTGGCACAACAACAATAATGGGTCACTATGTCTGCCCAAATGTCATCCAAGGCCGGTTGCTAGCCCTGAGTGGAGCATGCAAGTGCTAATGCTGAGCTCATGCTGAACGAACCGCATACCATATCATAGAAGTTGCGCAGGTCCAGTGCCATTCTGGGGTATCTCGCCCCGACGAAGTATCATAAATTATAATAGGCAGCCTAAGGCAGGACCCTTTTGTTTGGCCAGCTCCATGACTAAACAAAAGCGGTGGCCTATCGATTTTAATTAGCATTGCCGCCGGTACTAATGTTATTCGCCACATTCCTCCGGGCATCCCAGGACCTCCATCAGTTACCAGGGAGAAGTCAACATAATGCAAACCATACAAAGATCACATTCAATGGCTTGTGAGATGATGATCCGCATCACGAGTCAAAATCTCAAGATGTTGCGGCTCAGAAAGCCCCGCACGTACGACGAGGCAAAAAATGACCCATAGGATACTGCTTCAAGCGCGCTCGAAATACCCAAAATACTTGCGTATGAAGTCAAAAAACGCTGGATGCAGAGAAAGGAGCCACGGATGACTAAGACGTCCGGAACCGTGATCGGTACGAACGACATTTAAATTTGCTAAACCAGTCCCTATTCTAGGTCCTGGGACACAATCTCTCACAACGGCGGGCCGGCACTCTGGACTCCGAGTCGGGTGTCTGTCGTGCACTGCAGCATATACAGCAAGGACATACCTGAGTACGGTACAGTTTACCTTGCACGCTGTCTCGCACTTACATTATTCTGTTCCTAGACTCGTTCATCAATGTCATAGCTGTAAAGACTAGACACACGAGTCTCGTGTAAGTGACTGTATTGCTATATACCTAGACACACGTCAATCTATTGAAATATCGTTAGTGTTTAGGCGGCGTGTAAGTGATAACGGAACGTATCCTCAGTCTCGTGTAAGTCACTGAGGGAAAAGGGTAAGGAAACAAGTATATAAGCGTCCGTGTTGGAATACCAACAATCATACTCCGCGTCGCGTCGCACGTGCACATCCGTGCATCAACAATAGCGGTTCTGTCTGCAATGCTGAGACTCGTTCCTTAATTCCACTTACAACATAACGAAGCGCACTTTGTTGATATCAACATTAACGCATCGAAGTTACTAGTACCGATGTGCTCCCGCAGGTGAGTAGTACTCATACTGAAAATGGTTTTTAGTATGGATTTCTGCATTACCTGTCGATCCTGAGCCGAGTGCAAACGTTGCAATATTATGATTCAATTTGTTTACACCAATCACAGTGTTCTGATTGTTCCATTTAGCACTCTGGGGCAAGCATCAGGATCGAATCCGAGTCGGAGGCTCTGGCCGGGGCCAAAAGAAGTTTTGAGAAGTGTATCAATTCCTACTTTTATTCCGTTCACGGCACAGCTGTAAGTTGTTCCATTGCTCACGTAGGCGTATAAAATGAGTACGGCTGGTTGATGTGGTCCTCCACTCCAGTTCTCTCCCCCTTGCACACTCATTACAAATGCCCTCCAAGGCAAGATCATTGCTCGAGCTCACCAGGCTTCACTTGTTTCCAGTGGGGTCTGACTCCACGTTCTGGCCTTTCGGTAAGCCGAAAAATGCATGGGGGACACTACTCGTCGGCTGATGTTATTGTACCTAGCGTGGGGCTCGCTGGCGGCATCATACCATGTAGCATTACCCATGAATAAAGTTGTCATGAACACTTTGTTCTATGCGTTATTAGGCACACTGGTACATAGTGCAGGTTGCGTCATAAATGACATGATTGATCGCGAGTTCGATCGCAAAGTTGGTACGTCGATTCCGTTCTGATCATCGCTAATCGCCTGACAACGTTCGATCAGAACGTTCAAAAAACCGACCGATCGCGTCGGGAGCTGTCACTATGCCAGAGGCCTCAGTTCTTCTGATCGTGCTCGTTGCTGCCATCTTTTACATGTTCTCAACTGCTGGCCCTACAGCGTGAGTAGATTATTCAGAAAATATCGAGACTTCTCTGACAGGTTAGTCTAGTCTATTACTCGGTCTTGTTGGACTCCCAGCATGTGGTGGGACTTATCCGCTAATGAAGCGCTGGATATATTGGCCATCTTTGTACCTTGGTATGGCTTTCTTGCAATTGAAAGTTGTGTACCGTCTTATTTAGTTCCCAGGTTTTGCTGTTAGCTGGGCCGTCCCATTCACGTGGGTGGCAATTACGGGTGAGTTTGATTGGGGCATGATCCTGAATGTCGGGGTCGCGTCGTGCTGGTAAGTGTGCCAGAAAGGTATTTGTCTCCGAGGAGCTAACGGTGCCTCCCTAGCTGGACGTGTCTTTACGACATTATCTACGCGTGTCAGGTGACTAGCCCGTTTAGTTCTACTCTAAAATGTCAGTGTAAATTATGTCATATCAGGACAAGAAGGACGACGAAAAGGCTGGAGTTAAGTCCATGGCAGTCCGTCTGGGCGATGGCATTCGTCTTGCATTGAGCGTATTTGACGTGACGTTCTTTGTGTGTCTTCTATGGGCTGGGTACCTGAATGGCCAGCACCTACCGTTCTACGTGATAAGTGTCATTGCGCCCTTCCTCCTCTGTCTCTGGCACATATGGTCATTTGATCATAATGATCCAAGAGACAGCTGGAAGAAATTTACGGTACGTTGAAGTGATATAACTATGAGCTGATTCTGACATCCTCTTATTGTACTGCAGGCAAGTCGCCACGGCGCAGCGTTGGTGTGTGTGGGATTGGTCGTGGATCATTACTGTAATCTTGTCTCCTTGGCCATTTGAGCATGTACTTTTATCTCAGGCTGGATTCAAGGTGACGCCTTCAACCATCTTATTAATGTACTTACCACAACCTTGCACTTGCCTGTTTTTATCCTACAGACTAATAGATGAGTGACGCAGACATCGACCTACTTACTACAGTCTTTCGCTTTCGTGCTTTATCCTGCAGTGCTGTTTATGTTTTTTGATATACAAACTAATAGACGAATGATGATGGAGACATCGCAAATTAGTGTGATGATCACACAGAAGGCAGGCTTGTATCGAGACTACTCACACTTCCCTGCAGAAAGACCCTTGCGTGGTAGTAGGGAAAGAGGAAGTACAACTCGTGGTACGTAGATGTGAACCAGAAGCCCCTCAACGAAAGGGAAATTGTTTGCCCAAACATTGCCCAAACAAGCCAACCGAGCGGACCGCGAGCGGAGCGAGCCGGTAGCGATCATTGGACAGATGATTTTTTTCGGTATACCGGGTCCAGGAACTAGTAGCACAGCATCATGTACAGCAAGGACATACCGCAACCAAACCGCAACCTATGTTACAGACGAGTTGGTGTTTCCTCAGCCTCACTGGCGCTGATATACACCGGAATAGATCGAGATATCCATCCTTCCACAGCTTTGACTCTTATTTCGCTGCCCAGGCCCTAGTTCATGAGTATCGAACACAATTAGTAGTACTGCCAGACCGCCTGATACCAAATCATCGTTTTCAAGGTTTTGTTAACACGTTCGTAGGAGTACGTCGTTCCTCGAGGTAACTAACCCGCATGATTTCTAAATGACAGTACTAGCACTTCCGCAAACTAGTTCCAGTTCATAATCTGTGACACGACTCACACGAGTCATCGTTAATGAATCAAGATCACTGTTGGTATTTCCACCTCTGATCTCTCCGTTATTTCTGATCTCTTCAACAGTTTCAGGATCGTTTGAAGGAACCTGGGAGAAGCTGTCCCAGGTCGCCGTCAAGGGTGCTGAATATGACTCTCGCGAACGTCGGCCCCACCCCAAATGTTTACAAGGGACCCGAGTGGACCTTCTCAACTACATCCGCAGATTACTAGACGACCAAGAGAAGAGTCGACTCATTTGGCTGCATGGCACGGCAGGCGTCGGAAAGTCCGCTGTTGCTTTCACTGTGGCTGAAACGATGAGAGATTTAAAAGTGACAGAGGAAACGCATGTCGAAAAGCGGCTCGCGGGAACATTCTTTTTTTCACGAAAACACACGAAACGTTGCACCACGGGCTATTTCTTTGTGACACTCGTCTACCAGCTTGCCAGCAATTTCGCCAGCGTCCGGAATGATGTCAACAGAACTATCAGGGACAATCCTGCTCTTCTAGACCCTGACAAATCTCTTCGCGACCAGTTGGAAGCATTATTCATCCAACCTCTCCGAAGGCTTCAATTGAGACTGCGTGGGTGTCCGCCTTTGACATTTGTTGTCGACGCTCTTGATGAATGCACGTCCGAAACCGAGCTTGCTGATCTCATTCTTTACCTTGCACGGGCTCTTCGTGAACCTCATCTCCCTGTGGTCCACATTCTGCTTACGAGTCGTTCGGAATCGCATATCTGTAAAGCATTTCAGAATGCCGAGGTGTACCCGTTGGTGTGCCAGATACCTGTGAAAACTTCTGGAGAGGGCGTTGCCGCCACCATCTCGTTAGATGGTGCAGATGTTGACAAGGACATCTATATTTTCTTGCATCATTCCTTCACGGAGCTCCAAAGTCGCCATCCTGATTTCCCACAGCCGTCAAGGGATGAGCTTGAGCGGCTGGCCAGCCGAGCGGGCAGACGTTTCATCGTGGCGTCTACGATGATGAAGTTTATTGATGATGGAGACAGTGATCCCCGCGATCGGCTTCAAGTCATGCTGGATCTGGCGAGTGAATTGCTACCAGGAACGGAAGTGTACGAGTTGTATGACCGTATCCTGTCCACATGCGCCGACCCTAAGCGGGCATACCGACACTTGTCCATCGTCGCTGCCCTCGCAGATCCTCTACCAATTTCACAACTCTCAAAACTTCTTGGCCCTGGCCTAGGCAGGGACGTCGAGACAGCACTGGTGCAACTACGCTCTGTCATGGATATCCCTACGGACGGCAGTCTCCCCGTGAATATCTATCACTCGTCCGTTCGTGACTATGTTTCCGACCCCTCAAACTGTAACCTTCCTCAAGTACACGACATCCTCTTACCCCACTCCATACTCGCTCGCTCCTCTTTCCGCTTGATGATGAAAGAGATTCCAGAACGCTCAGCCCTCTTGGATATGCTGTCAGACTTAAAGAAGCACAGCCGAACTATGAAATCTCAAGATCCCCAAAGACTAAAAGAATCTTTGTCCTTCCTCGTTCAGCTACCAGAGCCACTATCAGTTCTCGTTGCTCTACTATGGCTTCGAGGGGACCGTAGTCCAGATTTAGAATTCTGGCTAGGGACGCAGGATGGGCGTGCCTGGCTGCAAACTCCGAGAGGGACAACTTGGCTGTGTACCATGGGTGGGGAGAACTGGCTACAGACACAGGAGGGGCAGGACTGGCTACAGACTCAAGGGGGAAAGGACTGGCTGCAGATCTGGGCTGGGACACGCTGGTTGTGGTCCTTAGGTGGAAGCATTTGGCTACTGACCAAGGGTGGGAACGATTGGTTGTGGACTCAGCAGGGCAAGGCTTCGCTGCAAAGTCAGTCGGGGAAGGAATGGTTGGAAACCGTGTTGGGAACAGTCTGGCTAGAGAGTCGGGGCGGGAAAGACTGGCTGAAAAGTCAGGAGAGGGGAGACGAGCTGCGGAAAGGTGACCGTCCGTCGCATATAGGAGTAGACTGGGTGTTCCATCATGGTGACAGCTTGCCGGAGATCGGAGACAAGGTGCAGATTACGGGCAATCAAAAAATTTACGCGCCGACTCAGCAGTCAATCTCGAAGTGGAACCCGCAAAATGACACGAAGCGGATGGATTGGCTAAAGACCCATGGTGGACTGGCCTGGTTGCTAACACAAGAGGGGGAAATCTGGTTGCAGAGTTTCAGCGGCCGAAAGTGGCTGCGCATGCAAGGTGGGAAGGACTGGTTGGGAACGAACGGGGGAAACTCGTGGCTACGGACGCAAGGCGGGAGATGTTGGCTGCAGACGTTAGGTGGGAGGGACTGGCTGAAAACCCCTGGTGCCCAAAACTGGTTGGAGACCCAAGACGGGCAAGACTGGTTGGAGACCAAGCACGGGTGGGACTGGCTGGAGACCAAGCATGGCCGAAACTGGCTGCAATGTTGTATGCGTGCCTCGGATGGAAGAGGCTGGCTACAGACTAAGGGCGGAAGAAACTGGTTGCAGACCCAGGGCGGGCGAGACTGGTTGGAGACTCCTGATGGTGAAACCTGGCAGGCGACTCCTGCGGCCTCTGTCTGGGTGACAATGGAAGAATTCTCGAACACATTGAAAACAATCAGCGAGCATACATTTATTCCAGAATCTTCACCACTGCCAGCTTTCCAAGCAATCCAGCAGTTCAGGACCTTGCCAGATATCTTGATATTTCCAGTGTTCCTCGCGTTAAGACATCAGGACCATTCCAACGTTAACTCTGCATTGCTGGAATCTCGTTTTCCACCAGACAGAAAGATCATTCATGTTATGAGTGCCTTTGTAACTTTCGCAACCGAAGTACAGGAACGAAGTCAATCAGCTTCGGAAGCTCTCAAATATGCATGTCAAAACTGGGCCCTTCATCTCTCCCGCGCTCCAAATCCATTAGATGAAAATATCAGCCATATATTCAAGGCTTTCTGGAATCGTTATCTCCTCTCCTGGCTTGAAAGGCAGTGGTGTTTGAAGGGTCTACAGTCTTGCCTCGTTGTTTTATCTACTGTGCAGACACTCGCAAAGGTGCGTGTATTTTGGCCTCACCAAACTTCCCAAACACCAATATTTTACTATGATTCGTGTTTTACTCACAACCAACTGAACTCGTCAATTTACAGCCGAATAAGACACTGCCTATCATGGTTCCTGACTCCGGAACGTCGACAAAGGAAACTTCACCACTTGCTGCTACCACCTCCAACACGTGGATACGGCCGTCAAGCTCACAGCGTACCCCTTCCACTCTTCCTCTTGTCCCATCCTTATCACCAACATACAACGCCGCTGTTTCAGATGCTGGCATATCTGCAAAACGGGTGTTAGATGAGCCTCGAATTAACAGCGATAATCCAAATGGATCCGCCCCATTAAAACGCCCGAAACGAGACTAGCAGGACTTACAGTTGGGATCCACTGAAACAGATTTCCTTTTATTTTACATAAGTTGTTCGATGGAAGCCTAGGAGAGACTCTGACGACAGCGGGGATTCATCAGTATACTAGTGCAAAGGATTTGCAAAGGATAGTGGTGATACAGGTACCAGAGAATGCACAGCCACAAATTTCCATTTTGAAGGTTATGACTAGCTACAGACTACAGTACTTATAAGTTACAACTTGTCGAGTCGTCTTCTCCCAATTTCCTATTCGTGCGGTAGTGATGTTCTCAAATGAGCTCAAGATGTTCCGTCGACTAGGATTCCGACACGTCCGTCCTAGCGTTTTCAATCATTCTGCGGAGTACTGACTTGTCTTTTGTTTCATTTGTGCCGACGTGTCCTTGACGTGACCCCATATGCTTCTATCGTTCTCTGTTCCTTCAGTTTCTGCTCCAAATTCTCAACTTCACCTCCGTCATTGCATCTGGCCTAATGCTATGGAAAGGCCTCGGCCTGATTTTGAACACAGAATCTCCAATTGTCGTTGTCCTCAGGTATGTACGATCCTCGCTCGATCAGGCATTCAACTTGAAACCTCCATTTCTCCCCACGCTAAACTGGATTCTGCGTATTTATTTATCATATATTTACAGTGGCTCGATGGAACCAGCGTTTTACCGTGGCGACCTTCTTTTCCTTACCAATCCCCCAGGCCAACGCTACCATACAGGCGATATCACAGTATACAGGATCCCTGGCGCCGAAATACCCATCGTGCACCGCGTCCTGGAGACCCGGGATGTCTTCATCCTATTTGACAATTCTACGGAGAACCCCATCATCAAAAACAGGTGAGTGTCTCCAGTGTGCCGTATGTGGTTCGTTGCGGGAAAGACATTCGATGACTAATTACAACTATACCCCGCCCCAGACTAGCAAAGCTCAAACTCCCGCCGGGGGAACATCAACTGATGCTCACGAAAGGCGACAACAATCATGTTGATGACATTGACCTTTACCAGGGTCTTGAATGGCTCGACCGAAGACATATCATTGGCAAAGTTCGCGGGTATGTGTTTTTCGCCTTATTCCCATCCTGTTTGAAGGCAGAGCTTGTGCAGTTTGACACATCTCTTATATTCTAACTACACCTCCAATTCACTCACACTTTATCCCCAGGTTTCTTCCGTACATTGGCTACGTGACGATTGCCATGGTAAGCCTCTTTCACCATCCTAGTTGAATATACGCGTGCCACTTAGTAGCCTGTTTTTCATGCATCTCTCGTTCATGCCCGATAACGCTGATCATGCCACGCAGAATGATTTCCCGCAACTTAAATATGCGCTTCTCGGAGGCCTCGGGCTATTAGCTGTCATACAACGGGAGTAGATTGTTTGACAAACTTTGCACAACTATGCATATGTGCATTAATTGTTTGTGCAATTACAAGTCTATAAATCTTGTGCTATGTGTACTTCGAGTCAGTGCAGTTGAACCACGCGCATTTTCTCATCTGCCCATCATGTCATTGGCCCCTGCCGCGACCCCGGTTTGATACAATCATTCCCCTGTATTTCATGCTACTAGCCCGCAACTGTATCTCTCGCGGACTACAACATGGCAACCACAAGCACAGAGCGGCAAGCAGTTGATTTACCCGTTCGTGCCACAGATACTTGTACTCAACACAGAGCCCATCGTAGACACGGTGACGACGTACTTCCGTATGTCATGTCATTCTATTGATGGGGTGGGAATGAGCAGCTGCAGCCTGCTGCACGACATCCAACACAAGATCATGTACAAGTTGAATGCAATCGGTCTTATGAAGTTGCAGTCATTCTGAAAAGTAGCTCATCAAGCGGGGTTTCGCTGGCCCTGGGTTGACACGTGAACTACTCGTCCGCCTGGCATCACCCTTCAGCACTCACAGTCTATCTCTCAGACGTTCGGTCTTCGTCCCAAGTCTGGCGCACTGGCTAAGAGTGCTTGGAACACCTGAGGATGGACCATCCCGGAATTCCTTGCTCCTGAAGTCATTCGCTTCTACTAACAGGATTGGACTCCATACTGCCTCGATGACGTCTCCTCCGACCACAAGGAGTCTGTGAAGACCATGCATAAATTGGAGGATTAGATGCACGCGCTTTCATTGCCTTCCAACCAGGAATGAGAGATGCGCACGAGAAACTGCAATGAGCGTCTACGCGTGTCATCACTGCCCATTGAAAGATATGAATCAACAAGTCTGTGAGCACGTTCTTTGTCGTACGGTCGTTGTGCTGACGTGATGTTCTCAGATATACCACGCGCAATTCATGTACGAGCCCTAAAATGGCCCTCTGCCATCGTACACGCAGATCGATGGGACAGAACGAGATACGGAGGGCGAGGGGGGCGGCGGTGCCAAGGGAGCAGGCACGGTTGATCGTGGTGAGATGTTAGGGATACTATAGTACTGTCGTGATGCGGTGCTCATTGTATGGTGTAGGTGGCATAGAAAGGAAATAGGTGGTCATCATGGTCAGGCGTGTCAGGATGATACTGTGTAAGCATGGCTTACGCAGACACCACTGACGCATCATCAGATTTTAAAGACGTCATCAACAATGATTGGACACCACTACTGTTTACCTATATTTGCCTTAACGCCTATTTATACCAACGCATGCTCATGTACTTCTCTTTCCGTTCAATCACATACGCTTTATGTAACACGTACAACAGAATTGTCTTGGTGTTTCCACTCCGCACACGAGTGGTTTTCATACTGGTGCAAAGAGATGACTTTCTTACCTGGAGCAATTGCAACATGATGGCAAGGCGTCGATAGCTGAACAGTTCAATGATGATGGTTATCGGGGTTTGATAGTCACTTGTACATTAGCGTTAGTAGGTGCATTCTCACTCTTCTCATTCTCGTCCTTCGATACGGATGCATTCTGAGGTCGAGGCACAGCAGAAGCCATATATAAACAAGCATCAGCGCTCAGCGCCAGCCGTCAACGTTTCAACTCTAATATATCATTATTTGATCCCAGGAACATAGTCTATCAACTCTCTGAGATATAAGCATGGAAGGGCATCTGAAAATGCCGAACAATAGTTAAGATATGGACTGATGAACTGGCAAATTGAGAAGAATTCACTCGGCTCGATAATTGCAAACTTTATGAACTTCTTCGACAGCGTCGGGCGCAATGACACACAATTGAGTCACCCCCGAACCTCGCACAACTTCCAGATAGGGTTGAGCTCTTATGGCAGTACCTAAGTAGCACCGAATAATGCACTTGAGGTCACATTGACATGTTCGTCCCGTCACCTTCTCACTGTCCTGCCACATAGACCAAAATAAGCCTCCCCCAAAACCAATAGTCAGGCTTCAGAGAAGCCGGGGGAAGAGATGAACAGGGCGCCTCAATAACAGTATACCACAGTTCCAACACCTTTGTAGGGGCCTATACAGTGGACCTTTGCGCTCCCGTAGCAAAATGACCAGGAAAAACCTATTTTTGAGTATGTCAAAAACTATTAAAAACTGGTATCAAAAACCCCTCGAGGGTGGGGGTGAGTCAAAAACTCGTCATTAACTCCATAGGGTATTTTTCCGAGTCACGGACTGACGGAGCCCTGATCGTGCCTACCAATTCCTCAACTCCCAAACGCGCAGCTGCATTCTGGTATGGGTTAGAATTTCATACTCCCGGATGTCTTTGACATATAGACCAGGTCAACCACACTTCACTCATCTCAATGGATCCAGAGTCCGAGTCTAGAGCAGAGGATGTTCATAAGTTCGGCTCATGGGTACTAAACAACCTGCAGGAAGGAAGTCTTGGCCTACTCACATTCCGAGAGGCCCCGCAGACCTTTCAACCTGTCCTGGTCACTGAAAGCGACAGTCAGTTGGACTTGAAGGCACTCCACTACACAGGTAGCAGATCTCAGCCTGGAGCAGGCCCTGAGGCAGCAGCCGAAGTAAAGTCAGCTGATGATGCAGGACTTGGAGGCTTGAATGTCGGAATGAACAGCGAGGAACATGACCTGAGGGAAAATATGTGAGAGCTGGATGGTCATACTGGATTTGTTATCGAATTAACGCTGTGCATCCGCTCATCACAGCCTTACGAAAGCCCCACTACGACTCTATGACTGTGAGAATGAGGTTTTGAAGGATCAACAGACATACCTTCGGGAGACAGGCCATACCATTCCACCTTATCTTGTGGTTTCGCAAGTGTGGGGAGAAATTAAACACCAGATGATCCTGCCCAGTATCGAATGGCCCGTCGCTATTTCAGATCCCGCAAAGTGGGACACGATCCTGGCATACTGCAAGGCAGATAACAGGGTTAAATGGATGTGGATGGACGCCATTTGTATCAACCAAAGCAACAGTCAAGAGGCAGACGAAGAAAAGGCTGTCGAGATTCCGAAAATGAACCACTACTATCGCGGCGCAACAGCCTGCCTCGTGGTGCCCAGCGACTACTTGAATTTCCCGTTGGCACACGCACAACTTGTGGACCTTTCGTGCAATATCATGGATGCCAATGCCTCCGTGCAAGACAATGCACCGAGGATTTGGGAAAGTATTGCAGTGCTTGATGCTGTCATCGGAGATGAATGGTTCTGGAGAGTGTGGACGTACCAGGAGTTTTTGTTGCCAAACAAACATATCCTCCCTGATGGACAAGAACTGCGCGTCGATCTATTACGACGCTTACTGGACTGGTACCACAAGATATTGCGGAACGGCTCTCTGAAAAAACCACAAGGCGGAACCGATTACGACTTCATTCATCCAGGCAAGGAATTGGTCATTTCTGCCCCACGCAATTGGCAAACCCGGAACCTGCGTTTCCAGATGAAGGAGGAACTCGAGCAGAACGGACACGTGAACCTGATAAGCCTCATCTGGCAAATCAGTCACAGACAATCTATGTATCCCCGTGGACCGCCTGTTGGGGCTCTATGGGTTGCTCAGTGACGAGGAGAAAGGTATCAATTAATCCATCTGAAGCCTCTGACCGCAATTCGAGCACTGCAGCGCTTGAATCTATGTGGGGACGCACAATGACAAAAGCCATAATGTCAGGAAGAGTATGGCCATTGCTACACGACTCTCCGGAGCCCGATGCAGTAGATGGAAGACATTGGATGCCCCACATCACAGCCCCTAATCTTTGGAACGAACGGTTTCCCGGGGCTGCTCTCGCAGGGCTCTACCCGGAAACCATACACCACCACAACCAGAAGGATATGAAGATAGCTGACGATGGATTACACATTGCGGTTCGATTTGTAGGATGCGTAATGGGGATGAGTATCAACATTGGGGACGGGGGAGGAGAGATGAACAAGATCACCCTCTGTACCTGGTTTCTGACGGCCAATGGTTGCAACACAGATCCGATTATACAACAACTCCAGCATGGCCTGGCGACATCAGACATGGTCGCACTGAATGAGATTCAAGGTTCTCAAGAAGCACTTTTTGCCGCACTTCATGCGAGTTCCTATTCAGAACTCATGGGGGAGATGAACTTTGGGCGAAAGTTGACCTATGGTAGTGAGATCATGGGGTGGAACAAGAGGGTTCTATGCTTCCAAATTGAAGGCCACAGGACGCCATTCGTCGTCTTGGCATGGATTCATTGTAGCAGCCCTCCAAAAATGGGGGATTGTTGGATTGTGGATGTCACCTCGGAACCAGCTCAGACGGTTCGTCGCTGGATTGTGGTGAATAAAGTGGGCCCAAAGACCTTTAGGAAGATCGGTACGGTACGCGCTTGGCAACCTATTGGTGCTATCTTAAATCAGAGTTGGGTGCCTATCATCCTTGACTAGTACTGATAGTAGTACCTACCTGTGTTTTGTTTTGGTGTATGTACAGTGTTGTAATATCACTGTTGTCCTGTTGTCCTCGGAGCCTGAAACTCTCTCACACCACCCTGGCCAGGCCCGGGTTCTCGAATACAAATTGTGATGTTCACTCTGCCTGATATAAGAGCACAAGAGAAGCACCGGATCCTTCGTCATCGGTCCTATCTCACCTCTCGCATTTTGAATTGGAATGGTATCCAGTGATCCACTAGGATTCGGAGACCACCTTTTTGCCATGACCCCCTCCGACTTGTGCCTCCCTTCATCTACCTCTCCATCTTCCACGGCTGAACGCTTCCGTCCTGCCCCCTGCACGTAATCGTCTCCCCGTCGGGTGAGAGCACCACTAGTAGTGCCCAAATATCCCGTATTCTCTACTACCCTCAAAGTTCCATACTTTCCCGACAAGAAGCCCTGTATTGTAGTTCCACTTGCACATCGTGCCGTCTAACGAACTACCCACAATTTGGACATCGTCGTACCAGAAGATGAAATCTCGAACAGCCTTCACATGACCTCAAAATTTGTACATCGGAGTCGGTCTTTTGGACTCAGAAGCCATCGTTCAGGCTCAAATTCACACCAGAAGAGACAAGAGGACACCTACAGTGCAGTCGCAGCGAGGTAACTCACCATCCCTGTGTGCAGCTTATCCCTGTCTCAGGTCAGGCGCTACGCGTGCTCGCCCGAAACTTCTCGTTCAGTTTTATCATAGTATTTACCTCCAGCATTTGTCTAGTACATTGATGACCATCTTGATCATGTCTAAGTGAACATCATAAATGCCAACAAGACGGGACTGGACGTAGCTCAAGAAGAGAAAGGAAATCAACTGCATGCCTACGCAAGGGGAGTCGCGACCCAAGCGAAAACTTCTTGCCTCCCTTTCGCGATCTCACCCTTCTGACCCGAACTTGAATACGCAACTCGAAGACGCTCTGTGGCCAGTTCATCTAGTAACTCTAGGTTCTTCGGCGCACTGGTATTTGATGAAGACTTGAGGTTCGCATTCTGTGCTATCCGACGAGCACACTGTTGTTTAGAAAATTACATCGATGTTCGACTGAGCAAGCAGCCCTTGCAGAGATAAAAAACGCACGAGTTTTCACGCCGAACCACGCTCGCACAGTGATCCCGAGAGGTGTGGATTCTTGCAAAAGCTGTTCTGAATCATCAGCATCGGTCATGTCTACGACGGTGAGGAACATCTTGATAGCGAGGGAAAAGTCTTCTGAGGTGTATGCTGTTTCAGCGGCTTGAAGGACGTAGAAGGGGTTCTGGGGCGTTAGGAGCAGAACATGTGAGAGTGCCTGGAAGGAGTGATCATATCTGTAGGAGCAAACAAAATGAATAGGACGTGTGATGGTATTATAAAATGAAGACGCACTGGTTACACGACGCATAGATGTCTGCGAGTTCTAGCCACCCTTCAACGTCCGTATAGAAAGTGTCCACAAATTGCACGAGTTCGTTCAGGGCCTTTTCCACCTTTCCTGTTCTCCTCAGGACTGATATTCGTCGCTTCCAGATTGCCTATAGTAAGAGTAAGCACACGAAAGACACGTATATGAAAGCACGCACGACGTTGGCGGAGTCGGCTTCAAGTATGTCAGCGTAGTATTTAAGGGCTGTTTCTGGAGGCTCTGTAGCTTCCATTCGGATACCTATGAGACAGTCGACGCGTGGGGAGTTGGGGAAATTGTCGGCAATGAGCTGGAGGCATTGCTATATAGAAATGGGGTCGAGCTTAGGGTGAGGTAAGTACTTAGAACAGCAGAAAAGGACACACATCTGCTATATCAAGTCGTCCGACGTCTATTGAGGCTAATGTCAATTGTTCTAGGGTTGTCCAGCCTGCAGGAACACCAGAATGACTTGAGTTCAAATAACAGACGTGGACGACTACGGAATGGCTTGCCGTCGTCTCCCAACTTTTTGAAACCGCTTTTCTGAAGCACTAGAAGTCCATTTCGAAATATATCTTGCGAAGCGCGCGTGTTGTTGGCACGGTACGTAGCTAATCGTTCCAAGGCCGACTGTAAACTCATGAGTATAGGAAAGACCAGCGTATTACGTAAATTCTAGAATCGGAGTCAGTAACGATCGATTCATCCTTTTATCATGTACTTTCAGGCTCAAGTGATAACCATGCATGCTGTACCTCGCACTTCTAAGCTTGTGGTCTTTCCGCGTTGTTCAACGACCTGAAGCACCGATCAACACGCACGCTTTCAGTGACACGATCACTCCCCATGCAGGACCATTTGAAATCGACGTCATTCCCCGGGTCAAGTTGAGAGTGACAATGACAGATGGGTGTATAGATTAGGGTTCGTTTTCTATGTGTAATATCAAGGCCCATTCCACAATCTGATGCACCGATATATAACGCGCATGCTTTCATGTAGTGATGCGAGGGTTGCGAAGCTGACAGCAACTCGGATGATGACGGATGGATGTATTATTTGCAGTTGCACCATTTGTTATTGACTCGTTGATATTTACTAGGTTACGCTATATTTTCACTATACTGGCATATCCGTTGAGAAACAGCGCCCTAGTGAAGATCAGGGTGCCTGCCATGGCTGCGATGTCGGACATTAAATTTAACAGCGTTTCACAAGCTACAGTTGCAGTCCATGAGCAAGTGAGCACTGAGGTGGGCTCATGGAATGTCGCCGAGGCAAGAGGCTGTTGGCGTCTACCGACCCCAACCATTAGTATGCTGCGCTCGTGGATGTAGCACGTGGCACTTGCAAGAATATTCCATTAGCTGCAAGGGTACACAAGGCATGTTCATATATTTTTGAGTTCCTGCATTAATGCTAAATCTTATTGTATAGGTCGCTGACCGGAGCAATGGCATTCATGTGTCTTGCAGGAATCTTTCCAACTTGAAGTCACAGCAGCTCCTCCATCATTTGAAGAGGAAGCTGTCAAGGATTAGCCAGCTCTTGGATTCGGCTTTCACGCATTGAGGAGGACATCAAAACCAAGGTATTCGACGGCTCGCTATCATCATACAAGCGCAAGGATGACCCCTTCGTTATCGCCGGCTTTTTCGCTGCCCAGAGATGGGACAATGATTGAAAGTACTGACTGCACGAATCTTGCAGGAAATCTCGACTGTGTCAGTCACTCAATGTTCGCAGGGACTTCTTGAAGACAAACAAATGCCGCCACAGCGTCGGCAGCTTCAAGTTCAAGCCAACCACAGAATTTGCAACCAGAACTTCCTGCAGCCTCCAGTTCCTCCCAGCATGGGTACGCGCCACTACCACATCTCATACATCCGTCGTCTCACACCGGTTTCAGTATTTTCACCATGTTTTTTTTTCGCTCAACCCTCACGCGCACGAGTTACACTCGGTGAGTCACGGACTTTACAATCTATCTATGCAACAAGTACCCGCTGACACATCCATAAACGCTCCCTGAGCAGTATTTTACATAGCATTAATCAATTACATTTAGCCCTATATATTTATCCAAACATCCTGATCAATTGCTGTTGAAGTTCACAAACCTCATTTACTCTGCAAGAGATCACGTGATCGTGATTGCGTGACAGTAATTTTGTGACCCAACAAGTCCACGGCTGAAGATTACTCCGCGCTTGACCCAATTTTCCGAAGAATACATCGCTTGTAATGATCAAGCGGACTCTAGGCTCCTCTTCCTCATGTTTACCCCTGACTGAATGGCCTTGTCCATAATCCAACACGTGGCGACACCAGGTGAGAGGGCGTGGTGATGTTCAAGACCGATAACCAGATTATCTTTAAGCTGGTTAATCTTTGTTCCAGAGAAAGCTGAAATAGTGAGTGCATCATCGAGATCCTTGTGTTGTAGGCTGTCCGTGCCTTCAGTCTAACCATTTTGAAGGTCACCGGACCGTATTTATCCTCGAACAACCAGTCGCCATGTCGGATAATGATCGGCGATTCTATCAACGTTTGCAGACTCTGATTCGCCTCTTGGAGCGACCACACCCCCATCACGCTGTCATCGCAGTGGTGCATCTCAATTGGTTGTCAAATAACAGACAGGGCGAGGTACTATAAGATGTTAGATACGCACAGCTTATCAGACACAATCAAGATATCGGAGTTGCACCCCTGTCTTATTCCAACCTACACCACATGATTTGGACGCTGAACGCTCTCACTAAGAGTGCCAACTGTGCCGCTGGCATCGTCGCAGTTGTAGTGGCACTCGTCGTTTTATACAAGAAATTCTCGTTAGCAAGTCGGAAGGGCATCCCGCTTCCACCTGGGCCACCCGCCCGTTGGTTCTGGAACAATGCTTTGCCTGCTGTAAAGTGAGTTTTGGCAGTGGTATACAAAATATTGTAGATTGACGTAGATCGTCTACTCAGCATTGCCTATGCTCTGACCAACTTGGTTCGAGAGTATGGGCCGGTTGTGTCGTTCCGACAAGGTAGCCAAGTCATCATCGTCATCGGTAGCGTGGAGGTAATATGATTATCTGCTCATACTTTAAGCTTCATCCGACAATAACCTATTTACCAGGCAGTTGTAGAGATAATGGAGAAAGAAGGTGGATCACTGGTAGACCGACCTCGGTCCGTTGCAGCGAGTGAGATGCTCTCACATGAAATGCGTATCACCCTAGCTCGTTCCGGAGAACGCTTCCGGCGCCTCCGAAAAGCAGTACACCCTCATTTACAACCAAAGGCGGCACAAGAATACCAAGATATGCAGCGCGAGAACGCGAAGAACTTTATATTGGATGTGCTGAGTGACCCGACGAACCATCAGAAGCATGCAAAGCGGTACGTCACTCCCAAGGTCTTTTGTGATCCTTTCATAGATGTGGTATCTTAAGGTATGCAGCATCAGTCATTCTTCAGGTGACTTATGGGAAATCTACTCCCACTGCCAACGCCGATCTCGAAGTTGTCCGTATCCACAAAGTTGTTGAGCACTTTCATGCCACGATTCTCCCAGGAGCTTATCTGGTCGATCGTGTGCCTCTTTTGCGACACTTGCCTGGTTACAGCAAACAACTTGATGAGTGGCATCATGAGGAGCTTGAGCTATTTAGGCATCAACTAAGGCGCGTCAAGAGTGAAATGGTGAAGGGCTCTTTGTTTTGGTAAATGTATGTCACTTACATCTTGTTGTACGCAGGATCGGAATGAAGCTGGCCATTCTTTCACCAAGACACTATTGGAAAACACCGAAGAACACAAACTCTCTATAGATGAGATGTCGTATCTCGCTGGATCACTCTTTGGGGCGGGATCTGATACAGTAAGCCATGCAACTTATTTAACTTCGCGAACTTACTTTCTGTTCAGACCGCTGTTGGAATTACCGCTACTGTTATGGCTGCAGCATGTCATCCACTGGCTCAGGCGAAGGTGCATGAAGAGCTAGACACAGTGATCGGGTCTGACAGAGGTAATACCAAACCAAAGGGGTACAAATATTTTGATTTCTCAATTAATCTCTCATATAGTGCCGACCTTCAATGACTCGAGCTCCCTCCCTCAATTGCACGCATTCTTGTTGGAAACTTTGAGGTGGAGACCTATCGTCCGAATAGGTAAATTCGAATTTTGGCACGCTCTGAATGATGCTGATATATTCTCAGGATTTCCCCACCGTGCAACCAAGGATATTTTGTGGGTCAGTGTCTTAATTTGTTGTAACCCACGTTCTCATTCTAGCCTGCGTGCAATTAGCGAGGATACTGCATTCCCAAGGGTGCAACAGTCTACGGCTGCCATTGGTATAGCATTGCTTCACCATATACATTGTTTCGTTAAGCACGTGTTTTTCAGGACTCTTTCTCGCGATCCTACTGTCTTCCCAGATCCCGAAACATTTAATCCTCAGCGTTGGCTTGATTCAGAAGGCCGCCTTAATGACGATAATACGAAATTCATCACATTTGGCTTTGGTAGACGGTAAGTCGTTCTGACGTCGATTTTCAGACCGATCAACGAAGTTTACTTATCATTAAAAGTGTATGTCCCGGCCTGCACCTCGCGAATCAATCGTTGTACATTACCCTCGCACTTCTTTTGTGGTCTTTCCGCATTGTTCAACGACCTGATGCACCCATCAACACGCACGCTTTCAATGACGCAGTCATTTCTCATGCAGCGCCATTTGAAATCGACGTCATTCCCCGGGTTGAGGTTGCAAAGCTGAGAGCGATGATGACGGATGGGTGTATTGATTAGTGTTTTTTTCGCTATGTGTAATATAAAGGCTCTTAACAAAGAATTGTTCGACGACCTGACGCACCGAACAACACGCGTGCTTTCAGTGATATGGTCGGGTCGAGGTTGCAAAGCTGAAAGCGATGATGCATCGATGAGTCATACATTCGCGACAGGTAGATGTATCCTGCCAGTACACATCATGTAATGCGACGCCTCGGACGTGAATCATTAGCAAAAGAATGAAGGTGGGGGGGCAATAGTACCTGTGCCTACCTAAGTTAACTTTTGAACAGCGTCTCGCAGGTTCATGAAATGCTTTTGAGAGATTTCAGTAACCAATCAAGTGGCGAATAAAACTCCAACCAAAATAATTATGGACTGAGTAAGTACTAGCAGCATAGCCGCAGCCCCCACATATCGCAAGACACTGTAAGGCTGAGTTCGAGTTCGAAGGGAAATGCTATTGACGAGGGGAGCTGTGAGATGCTGTAGCGAGAAATAAGTTATCTTTCGAGCGAAGGCGTTGGAGTCTGGTGAACTTGGCAGAAACCGGATGGCAATTCGATGATATGTTAGAAAAAGTACATGGCTATATATATGTATGTGAGTGGCAAAGAAGTGATAAGCAAGATGGAGGTGTTGTCGAAACGAAGGCATAAAGAGAGAAAGGAAAAACCGGTAGTAAGATAAGAACAAAGGCAAAATAAGATACGAAAGGGAAATATAACGGAAGGCAGTGCGTACTGTGTCACAAATGTTGAAGTGAAGGTCCGAGCGAGCATCCAGCGCCAAAGCCATAGGCTTCCTTACAACACATTCGCGGAGGCGTGCACAAAATGTGTTCCAACTGCCCCGTGCTGCTGTCCGTGCCCAACCACTGTTTCCCGCTGCCTCGTACCATTCATTTCAGTTGGGTCCAAAAGCCCCGATGGCATCTTAATTGAACTCAGAAATTGGGTCAAAGCATCAGTGCTGGGGCTTGCCTTCTCAAACAGCTCATCTGTGCGTCCAGGTAACGCCAGTGTCTCCTGATTTTTCCCTTCCGTCTCCACACCTAGACAACGGTAAGAACCATGTTTGCATCGCGGAGAGGAACACAGTCACCATCTGCTGGTAGGCTAACATTACAGACGTCGACGAGGATGCGATGTTTGATGCCGGACGTCAGTGGTACGCGGCGCTTTTCTTCCTCCGAAAGGCCATGACACTGAGGGGTCCAGTTGTCAATGCCACGTTTTCTGTCAAAGGAGAGCTGCGGATGATGATAATTAGTCAGAACAACCAGGCTTCAGCTTACCCTCGAGTGTCATTGTCTTGATGCTATTACGTGGTACCAGTCGAGCTGCGCTTGCCCAAGCTCGTAGTCGAATTGTTTGAGCAACACGATGGGTTCTGGAGCAAGTTTATGGGTATCGCCGGCGATCCTATCCATGAAATTGAATTATTTGAAGAAGATGCTATCTGAGACAGCTTCAAGGGTTATTCAATCGTGAATATTCATATATGCAAGTTAATACGTGATAATCATCGTGCTCGTGCGCCATCTTTCTGGATATCGTATCTTGTGATCTTTCGTGATAGAACGGCATGAGCTATAACTGGCATCTGTGAGGGTCTGTAGGTTCTTTCCAGAAAGCTGGACGACTTTTTCCTTCGAGTCTTTCGCCATCTCACGTACCATAACATATTGAATGACATAAACCCCTGAAGGAGTATCCGTGACGCGGAAGAAATTCACTGTAAATGGGTATTGTACGTGGATTGCATGCTCGGCATTTCGTGGATCCACCAGCGAATTTCCCTCCACGTAGCCAGCCACTGGGGAGCTGGGAAATGCTCTTGTGTGGAAGGTCGATAAGATGTGGGCGCTTAAACCTTTTGCACACGTGCGTTTTCCAAGGGCCAATAGGATCGCTCAAAACCAGTCGTGCGAGGGATTTCGAGAGCGCCGCCAGTAATTATAGGCACGTTGTATAAGGAGCATTACAAGCTATTGTGATGCTGTCCATCCGTTACGGGGTCCACACTCCCAGCCAATCACCACCTGACAAACGTGTCGCATGTCGTTCATAAGCACTTGCGGATGAGAATATGAACTGTCATATGCATCTCTTCCGACCCATTGCAATTGCACCTCTCAAAGGTCCAGCAGAGATGGACATGTACGCTGAAAGCACCCCACGCAGGGCAAAGCGCTTGCGTTCGGCCTCGGGCGCTGCTGTCGCAATACCTCCGCAGTCAGACAATCCTCGATTGTCTAGTCCAATTTCCAGCGATGACCAGGCTGAAGATGACGCTTATGGTGCCTCTCCAGCACCACAACTCAAACGTCGCGGTCGCAAACCTGGGGCGCTTTCACGCTCAGCACGTGAAGCTCAGCGGAAGATCAATCACTCGCTCATTGAAAAAGCCAGACGCACCAAAATTAATGATGCTCTGGCCGCCTTAAGAGAGCTTGTGCCTGCGGAATACAAGCGAGTCAATGAAGCTGTAGAGGCCAGTGATGAGGATGAAGACGACGAACGTAAGAAGGGCAAAGGAAAGGTGAAGGCAGGAGAAAAGGAATTCAAACTTGAGATACTGGTACGGACGGTGGCGTATCTTCAGGACCTGACGGAGAAGGTGAAGCGCCTCGAGGAAGATGGGTGCAAGCAGTGCATTTGCCAATCATCCTCTCCTGACGCCAGAGGGTCCAAGCGAAGGAAGCATGACGTCGAGCAGGAAGATGGTGCAATGACTGAAGTGGGATCCGTTGAGGATTCACCCTCCCGCCTGCCATCCATCTCTACCTGGCTTCCACATTCGCAAGAACGGACTCGGAGAGCCCTGACTTCGTCCCAGTCACCATCTACCCGGCCAGTTCCGAGCTCTTCAAAGTCTCCATCACAACAGCTTCCAACACCTCCAACTTCCGCAATATTCACGAGCTCCTCCTCCGTCTCCGGAGTTCCACCCGTTCTGACCCTGCCTTCTCCGAGTACATTCCTTCCGCAGTCGAGAACACAGATTCAACCTTGTTTTTCGGGTTTTGCTCCACGACGGAGTCCCAGCGACACAGCATCGTCCTCGCCAGTGTACACTCCAGAGGATGAAACTGCCGCATCGCTATTGTTGCGCATCAGTACCTCCACGGTCATAACCTCACCACAACTGCCACTAAAGTCGGCGTCTCCGTCAAGTTCAAGAAACGAGTTACGAACAGAACGACCACGAGAAGGGTCTGTCCATGCACTGACACCAAGCCATCTATTAGGTTTGACAGCACAGGAAAGTGAAAACAGATTGTGATAAGATGTCATTGAAAGACGTCACTACTTCGGTCAGACCTGACGATTTTGACGCTTGTATATGTCTTGAAGCTTACGATTTTGCTCACACTTCAGCTATAAAGACTGTTAGTGTTGGCAACATTATGTATGACCTTTTGCCGATTGTAAAAACATGGTACTACTGTAATATATATTTGACTATATTGAATCGGTGTCACACTACTACATAGTAGTACTGTAGAGGTTGTTCGGTGTTTGTAATTAATGTTTGGATCACCCGATTTTTACTTCAAAACTTCATCGCTTGTATGTTAAGACCATTTTGCAGGTCTCTATTCAGACAGAGACGGCTATTTTACTACAGTGGCGCAGCGCGTCAGGAAGCTTCGAATGCTGCCGTAGAGACACAAGAGGATGAAGACAACTTACAGGATTTTCTTCGACGGCAACGAAAGACTGAGTGGAAGCGAAGACAAGGGGTGAGTGCACCTCCAGATATACGCGTACCACCTGATAATAACATCGTGCAGGGTCAGTCCTTCCTCGACAACCTTATAATCAACGTTCGAGGAGGTGTGTACATGTTTGAATTCACTCATGCATACTCAACATCATGCAGGGAATGGAGGTGACGGATGCGTTGCTTTCCACCGAGAAAAATGGAAGCCCATGGGGCCTCCTTCAGGTGGTAGTGGTGGCCGTGGAGGCGACGTCTATATTATCCCTTCGCCCAATCTCACAAGTCTTTCGTCCATCCCAAAACGCGTACGAGGCGCCGCAGGCGGAAATGGCCAAGGGACATGGCAAAACGGCAAAAACGCACCACCAACAATCATAAAAGTTCCTCTAGGTACAGTGGTACGCGAACTTCTTCCAGGCGACTCACGACGCGCGAAGGATGAATGGGAAGCAGAGGAGGAGGGGCTGGAGGGGCTCAGTCCCGAGGAACGTCATGCGAAGCTTCGGGATAATAGATGGGTGCATTATCCGCGGTATGCGGATGATAATGTCAATCGCGATGTGTTCAAACAGGCGGAGGCAGCTCTTTACCGCGAGGAGAGAGCCAGGCGCTGGGCTAGGAAACAGAGGCTACTATCACCTATCAATCTCGACTTGGACAAGACGGGGGAAGTCATGATTTCCGATGATGCACCTCTTGGAACGGGCCTGCAGGAGTGGCTGGGACATATCGTCGCGCGGGGTGGCAGTGGTGGGTTGGGCAATCCGCATTTCTTGTCACCCATCAGTCGTTCACCCAAGTTTGCAACGCGGGGACACGAGGGTGAGCGTTTAACGTTGTACCTCGAACTCAAGATTCTCGCGGATATTGGACTTGTCGGGATGCCGAACGCGGGCAAGAGCACTCTTCTTCGCGCTTTGACTGGCGGTCGGGCGAAGACTGAGGTTGCTGGCTATGCGTTTACTACACTTAACCCCATTGTTGGTGTAATTCGTGTAGCAGAAGATGGAACCTTCGAAGGCGCCCTTCAGGGTGAAAATATTTTCGATGAAACTGCTATTGAGGAAGAGCGCCTCCGGGAGCGCGAACTTTCCGACATAGAAAATTCCCAAGAACAACTGCGCTTAGAAGATAATTCACCTGATTCCCCGCGGCCTGACATAGAACCAGGTCACGACTTTGACGTTCATGAGACCTTTCGCTTCACTGTCGCGGACAATCCTGGGCTCATATCCGGTGCATCAGAAAATGTTGGTCTAGGTCATTCCTTCCTGCGCTCAATGGAACGATCTCTCGCACTCGTCTATGTTGTGGACTTGTCTCTTCCAGAACCGTGGGACGAGCTTAGAGACTTGAAAGACGAGCTAGAGAAATACCAACCAGGAATGAGTGACAAAGCTCATATGGTTATAGCGAACAAAGCGGACTTGTTGGGTGGCGAAGGGGATCAGGACGCTGTCGAGGAGGCGCGTAAAAAGCTAAGGAAGCTCGAGGAGTACGTCAAGACAGAGATGGTCGTGAAGACGCCGGGCGGGGAGCGCATACTCGATGTCATTCCTACCTCGGCAAAGATGAGTCAGAACCTCAAGAGGGTGGTTGTGCTCATGCAGAAATATGTCCAGCAGGCTAGAACGGTAAAGGTTTAGCGGTTCAACTATGTATGTGATCATTTCTTTCTCCCTTGTGATCATAGACTGATGTATGTGTTACAAAGCATTTACCATCAGGCAGTCATTCGAGTCCACTAGCCAGTTCTCACACCGGCATGTGTCGCTTTATTCCTGACAGGAAGGGCGATTGTAGCCCACATCTAAGTAGGCGATGTACAGGAGATGTACATACTGTTGTGAGCTGGGGGTGCGAAACAACGCGTTTCGTCCACTTCTATAGAAGCGGGCCCCGTGCCAATGATTGCTAGCGGGATATTCAGCTATAAGAGGACCTTATTCATCCCCAACCCGATGTCATGAACATATCTCGTGGTTCTCTCGATGCTACACGAATTTCCTCATCCGCCATGTAGCGTTGAGATGAAAACAATCTCATCGTTATTGCGAAGTTGGTAGGAACCTTCCCCTTCAAGCTCCCAATCCGTGTTGTTAATCAGCACAAGGATCCCTGGGCGGCTAGAGAGACTATGAGGTAAAGATTCAGTAGAGACAGAGACAGCGCACATCGTCCCATTCTCCATAAACAATTCCGGGCGCTCTTTGAGTAAATGATCACGAAGGTGATAAATCAAATACTCCAGATCTGCTGCCTTCGTCTCTCCCGTGGAGGGCGTATCGTTGTATGATGAGGGAGTAGATGAAGATGAGGACGGAGAAGAGTGCGTGGAATTATCAGATGGCACAAATGAAGGGATGAGAACCGATTGATTCCGCTCGTTGCTAAAGAGCAACTCAAGTCCACCGCTGAATACAAGTTTGATCATCATCGTGCCAGCCATCGCGGACGTTGTTCAAGTTGATCGATTCAAATATTCAAGCTCGACTCGAAATCGATGAGTCATATATATCAACGGTATCAAAATGGTCAATCGTCTGACAATGTTCGTAGGGCATATGGTGTAGCTGGTTATCACATCCGCTTAGCATGCGGGGGGTCTCCGGTTCGAGTCCGGATTTGTCCACAGTTTTTTGCTATAGCTCATGATTTTTACTCATCTTAACTAGTATGTACTTGGCATCATCTCGACATTTTAATGTTGCATATTGCATGATTCCCGAAAACTGAACAGAAGACGCCCTCCCCCAACGTTTTCAGGGAGAAATATTAATGAAATGTGGTGTATGGTATTATGAATCTTCTGGCAAAGTGATTTGTTACCACCTATTTTGTGGCTGTACTCGTAACTTCTCGAAGCCACAGAGCTCCTTCCCAGTCCCCGCCTCGAGTGTAGAGTGGCGATATCTGAGGGACTTAAACTTAAATCGGTTTGAGTAAATACCGTCCATATGGTCGAATATGCATACATGCAGAAGGTAAACTTGAAGGTGGAATCCGAGGCCTAGTAGCGTTTTCATGGCATGCCAGTCCAGAAAAGTCCTGGCGGCGGAAAGGTCACCAGACGTGTCAGAAAACGTAGGCCCTCCCTGAGAATAACGAAGTGAGGGGCCGGAGACGGCAAAGTAGAATTTCGTTAGGATAAACAAATTACTCGATCCACAGCAAATCTAGAAGGAACGGTTGTTTTCCATCTATATGGACTGGTTAGGGAGGTTAACTCAAACCTCGTCTACGACAAGGTTGCTCCAGCTGAGCTTCCTGCGGGTGAAAAACCAACGGTTTCGGAACCTCCGACTGTTTTCACTATTTGCCGACACGAAGGCCGTTACACACATAAAAAGCTGTGTGCGATAGCAACGGTCAGATTTGAAAATTTGAACCTGCTCGGCTGTGACCTCCTGAGCTATTCCGCAACTTCACGCCACCAATTTGGATGAACCCGCCGGCAAAAGGATGCAGCAAGCATGATCTTAATTTCTCTGCCAGGAAACATTGTGGCGAGAAATTCCGCCATTATAATTAGATTGGCTACGGGAGACGAAGCCGCATCCACCGATATCCGCATGCAAGGGGAACGCGTGAGGCGCGAGGACAAGATCATAACTGTTTCGTCATCGAGCACTGGCAGCTAGAAGGCAGCTGAAGAAGTGATAATGTGCTGAAAGCGCTGAACAGTCTAGCCATAAGGTCTCTGGGACCTGGGTGCACTGAAGTAGAATTCGACCAGGTCTGCCCACCCGATCGCCATTTTTTTGCATAGGTCATGGGGCTGGTCCACAAACGTGCTTGACGGTCCCCCTTGGTTCTAGACATCATATTTCTTTTCCATAGAAGACCTACTCGTCTTCTCCCACTTATATTCTAGGTTGCGGAACAAGCACAAAGAACTGATCACCCCGGAGTAGAGCATGTGCGTATCCTGCCATCAACCATTGAGTGTGAAACCGTGTTAACTAATGCATCGCACCGTGATCATGCTTCACCTATTAAAATTAACATCCTGAGCTGAGGAGGATCACTGGCCACAATTAAGAGCAATGACCAGCCTTCTAGTCATTATGACGGAAATTTCCAATCTCCTAAGGTTAATGGTGTGGGTGAAATATTCAGAATATTCCCCATGCCTGCCGGGGGCTCTGATCGGGTGCTGTAATAATTGTTGAGGGGGAGCATATCAATCAGGGATAAACAGGATCACTTACGATTCTCTGACACAGTGATGGTTGATCTAATTCGTCCGGCAGGACAAATCAGGGAACTTACAGGTGTATCGTAAAATAGCGTTCAGAAAAGTGCAGGGTGTGTTTGATTTGCCTACACATTTACAACATCTTCATTCGAAGTCGTGATAGTTGTGTCACATCAATGAGCTGACGAGGTACGTACTTACTAATATTATGGAGTGCCTGAGTTGAGTTACTAACATCAGTAGCGCAGTCAGCCAATAAAAATCATTAATTGTTAGACATGAGATGACTGTACGCACCGCCGACCACAAGAGCGCGCTGTTTGGGGAGTACCACTGGTCGGTCGAGCAGCGTTTAAACTCCGCCTGAAGCTAGCTCTAGACTATGGTCCGAAACAATAGCCCCATCGGAGTTGGCCATTAATTCCTGAACGTTCTAAGGAACGACGCGTGCGTGCTAGGCCTAGTATTCCTTCTTCTTCTCCGCACTCATCCGCATATCCTTCTCAGAAGACGATTCAAGCACATGTACCCATCAAACTCTACGTATTCCCGTCAATCCACACTATTATGAACACCTCGAATCTTGAGCCCCCAAAGGGGGTCGGAGGTAAGAGTGTACGATCTTACAACCTTGACAACCACAAGGCTATGTCCGAGGGGAAAGTGGACTCTATGTCTATGGGAAGAAAACTAGGACAGACCTTCGAGTCTCTGAGGATCGGTTGTGGCAGAGAACCTCGCTCGGGCTGCCCACAACAAGAAATGGGCTAGCCAACGTGCGGACCCGAACTTTATCGAAGAAGTTGCTGACGACGAGTCTTACTTCGATGAATCGGATACCCCTGTTTCCGTGACATCCATGCCTAGACCTTCCGATAAGATAGGTCACGCTTTCAGTTTTCTTAAATCCACTCACTCCTATGTACGACCCCGGGCCACAAAGTAGGCAAAGCTCTGTTCAAAGCTAATTTCTGCTCGAAGGCTTCTACTACTAATACAGTTCCATTATCCTCATCTTTTACGCACACAACTTTGATCAAAGACTCGGACACCGTTCTTACGACATCCATGGCCCGGACTCAGCATTCGAAATACCTAGACTCATTTCCGATCTTGCTAAAGCACGAGTTTGTGTTCCGCTCACTCTTCTCACCAGGGCTGCATTCTAGGAATCCTTCGATCATCAGGATGATGAAAGGTCTTGTCCTGGACGACCCGAAATTGAGTGTCATCTGAATCACACTTTGTCTTCAGCCTTCTGGTATACAGTAAGCACTCGCCCTGATCTTCGAATTAAGTAGGAACGACAAAGACTCTTCCTTACATATATCCATTCGTGGAGCTTCAAGACGGACTTTTTGACAACAGTCTTAGCATTAACGTGGGACGGGGAGATCATCGATCAGGAATTTGTGGGCTTTCAAGTTCGTATAAATAATATATAAAATGCGTGCTTCAGAAATACATACGTATTAAGACAAACTAAACAGTATAATACATATCATGTAGGGTTCACACAAAGTACTGACTGGTATAATGAGATTGCCATGGAGAGTCCAACCCCCATATTAAGTGCGTCCTGTCAACAATCAAGGGACTTTGAGTTCATTTTCGGGAGAATCAAATTCCGCAACTCTGACCTTCTCATGCAGAAGGAAGAGGCACATCCTGTCGGATGGTATTAAATAAATGATGAGATATGAGCTTTTCTTCAGCCATCTTCGCGAGAAGGTTACGCATCCAAATGCAGCTTTCGGTGGTGACTTGATCATATTCTACATCCGCTGCGAGCTCAAGCAGTTGCTCGCGCTGTTCCGATGTGAATATCCCCAAGGATATTGTCTGGTTGCGTGAGCGTTCCTTTGTGTTGACTTTGAGCGCATTGGGATAATGGTACTGGTGCCAGTGCCCGTGCATCTCGAGCTGGGTGATATCCCAGACTTCAAAGCCACCGCTAAGAGCGGCGTTCACCCAGTAGATGAGGACGTGTCTGGGATTACTGGGGTTAGAGTCCTTGTGAAGCCCAGTAGCCTGCAGAAAGACTTCTTTGTCTGACCAATCGTCGCCATACACCTGGGACAGATCACCAGAACCTCTCGTCGGCATAGGGGTAGTTGGCATGGTGTGTGAGGGTTGTGTGAGAGTCGTCGGAAAAGACTGTTGATTGTCAGGATAACCTCGATGTCGCATTCTTTTATTCTACAATGTGCCACAACTATGCCACTGTGGCCACAATTATCCTGTGGCCGCAATGCCCCCGAAACGCAGTCATCCTTGTCCATTGTGTCGGCTATTAACTTGTAACAACACAACATGTAGGCTGTAATTATATTGGTGAGAGCAGGGAATTCAATGAGAGGTTGTAGGAATGGGCAGTTTGTTCTATATTCATGTCCGTCAGCCGATGATTACCAGCTGTCTTGTGACGTCAACCTATTGTCCATGGTTACGACTGGTCATGATCTTGGCTCCGGAGGCAGGGATATCATAGATAGAGCCGGTCGGACCCCTCATGGTAGGAATCGAAACCTTGTGAGGCTCCTCGGTTACCTACGCCAGTTCCGCCTAAGATCTATACTCCAGAATGTCAACATCTATTGATAGAAGTGTTGATAAGCCACGCAGTAAAGTTCTGATGGCGAGGGGGTGAGAAAGTCTGCGATTCGGTTTCGAGAGAAAGGACGGTTGAAGACGGATCGTAGAATGCTAAAGCTTGGAAAGTGATTGATAACTCACAGATGTCAGAGTGCCAATGTTATCACGTAATTGTCAGAGGTTGGTCGCAGGTTATACGAGGCGACATTGAGCTCATGGGGATACCGCATTCGCATTGACGGGAGACTCCGACTTGCAGATAAGATACATTCCGATGCGACTTCAGTTCCCGTTGATATTACCGGGAGCGAATGGGAGAAGGGCTTCAAGGCATCGCCATGTACTTGATGTTTAGTAATTGTTATGATCATCTGCATCTGACCCACCTGACCAGTACTCTCTCTGATGACAGCTGCGGCATGCACGTGCTGGAAAATTGTATCTTTCTTCCGATACCAGATTCGCAAGCATGTTTCACGGCATGTCAGAGGTTGTATGTACATATGTATATGCCGAATGATGATCGGTGAAGGGCCGTATACGAGATGCCGCCGGAGAAGTGCGGCCATTAACACCTGACAACGTTACATTGGTTCTGCCGTTTGAGGTCATGATGCATGTCAAATTGGGCCAGATTTCGCGTTACAACGTTCGATGGCACTTGGACACATGTGGGATACAATCTCCGTGTTATGCTAGGCAGTGTTAGCCTGAGGTCAATGCTTTCAGAGGCTGAGTAGATCGTGTCAATGAAAAGGACCAGGAAGGGCGGACTTCGCGACTAGCACCGATTGATGTGCTGTACCACATGAGTTCGTCACGCAGGGTGAGTTGTGCGCAGTGCCGGGATATATGTTGGGGCATTAACCACACCAACGCATACACAGGTCCTCACGGACTCATATGACGTGTCATGGAGCACATAGGAATATGTAGGAATTTGACTCCCTTTCTTGTTGCTCTCGGGTATAATGCGTAGCCAGTAGGGTCGAATGGCAATTAGATGGCAGTACACTCTGAAGCGGTGAAAGAGGGCTTGGTTGCTTTGACATGAAGATAAAAGGATACTCACTAGCGCTGGATCCTCGTGGAGACCCCGAGGTAAACTTCTAGAGGATGATCAAATGGAGGTCAGTGATGTGACTAGTAGTAGCGTCGCTATTCGGATATTAATTGCACGCCGAAATGTTGTTGTAATGCTCGCCAAGTAAGCGCTTGAGGCGGTCATGGTCAACCACTCGAGCAGGAACGCCGAGAGTGAGAGTGATGGTCTACTACTTATCCTGTTCGAACGGAGTTAGTATCCCTCGAGGGAGAATTTGGTTTGAAACTGGGAAATCAATGTGAACGGAATTCAACGTGAGAAGATCAACTGCTGCAACTACGTTGTACGTAATTACATAAAGAAATCGAACCCGTCTCAGATTCTTCGTGTAAATTGTTAACACCCATCCCATTCATGGTTACAACGTTGCTCGCTTCCCTGAACCCATAAATTCAACATTCTTTCATTACGCTCTCTCAGCTTTTGCTCTTGTATCCCACCAGCTCCAAAAAAATCTCCCTGTACTAAGTACCAAGATCCTAATTCAAGCCCCTTTCACGATGTTCACTTCTAAGACTCTTGTTTCTCTCGCTCTCCTCGTTTCCCGCCTTGCTTTTGTTCAAGCCGGTATCTATGTCAGTCGTCGTCGCCGCATTTAATTTTTTTTTGCTTGACTTCTTTTTGTTTCAAACAGGTAACGAGCCCAGTACAATCAACTGTTTGCCCAGCAGGTCAGCCCTGCAGCGTAGAGTGGGTTGACGATGGACAGAGCCCTCTCCTGAGCGACATTGGAGAATGCACTGTTGGCTTGTACAACGGCGAGATGGTAAAGAGATTGCAGCCCCAGTCAACTACTCACGCATGTCGTCTTGCAGGCCCTGACGCAGTCGCTTCCCTCCGTCAACGTTGCGAGCGCGCATTCCTTCACATTCACTGTACGTGTCTTTCATTTTATATTTATCGATTCGCTAATCACCACGCATAATTGCACAGCCCAGCCCATCCACTAGCGGTGATGGCGGCTAGTGTGTTCAACCATTATTTCAATTTGAGTTGCATCTAATAAGCGACGCAGTTACCTGGTGTTCACCTCAACCAGCGACGGTTACCAGAGCTGGTCCGGTACTTTTAGGTTAGTATTTTTTTCCCTTTGTTCAATATATTATCGATGACAATGCACCTTGCAGCGTCAGCGGTTCGACTGGAAGTTCTACCACTGACACCACTTCAACATCTGGATCTTCGACACTTGGAGGTAGTTCAACTAGACTCTCCTCCGTGGCTGGAACTACGACCTCAGTGGCTAATTCTACCTCTACAGGTGGTTCTAGCACTGGGTCAGTGGCTTCATCTTCTGCTCTGCTTTCAAGTAGCTTCATATCAAGTACAACTACGCTATCTGTCCCATCTAGCACACAAACTTCGCCCTCCGTTGCAAGCACCCTTTCCGTGCCATCTACTATTTCTTCTGGTACAAGCACAAGCACCCACAGTACCTCTGCCACCACCGTTGCCACTAGCGCGACCCCGTCGTCAACCCAATCCGGCGCTGCCACTCGCGCTGGTGCTTCAACCTCATTGGCCGGTGGTCTTGTTCTCGCTTTAGCTGGTGCTCTAGTATTCTGAAGTGTTGGTAGTTTAGAGGGTTAGAGGACTGATCGTGATACCTTCATTTTCTCTTTGAATACCCTTTCAGAGACATTTCGATGACTTGCCAGTGGCGATGCATGACACTTTATTGTATAATTCTTGACAGTTTACACGTGTTTGTTTGTTGATATCATAGCGATTAATTGATCGACGTCAATCTTATGAATGAAGAGGTTAGAACTGGGAATGGCCAAGGGACTCAGTCTTGGATTGAAAGGTCACCATAGCTATGGATCATACTAATATGTACCTAGGAACGGGAAAGGGATTAGGTAGGGTAATGTCTAGTGTATGTAGAACTGTAAATAAGAGAGCTTACCTCAGTCTTAAATCAAAAGACAGATTAATATTGTTTGGGAGAGCCATTGATATGCTGATAGAGACGGAGAATCATTAATCAAAGGTGAATGTATGAGACGTATATTGAACGAGGAGTGATTGCATGTGTAAAAGAAAAGGATGGGTACGTACGAAAGAGTCAACTCGACAACTGGCTGCCGCACTCCTTCGTTCTTTTCAGCCAAGCCGTAGACATGACCTTTGAATTTGCCTCTGCTAACATCAGGGGGACTCGGCGCTTCTCGAAACCTAGGGGGCACTTACGGCCTCGTGGATTATGTAATATAATGGATTCAGTTCTTGCGAGCCTGTGGCACATTCAATTGCCTCTCGATTTAGCCTCTACCCTCGACTGTGAAACCGCGTCCATGGGTGCCATTCAAGCCTCATAAGGGACCCGTCAAAGTCCCGTCCCTGCCCTTCAAACCCAGGTCCCATGACTTACTTGGCATTTACAATATCAGCGCGCATATCATACCTGCAGCTAATCCCAGAGTCACTCTAAATATTCCAGTTCCCGGGCCACCTCCTCACTCTTCGAAAAGACCCGAGAGGGATATCAAGAGACTAGGGCTTGAACTCATGGAACAATAGGCTCGGCAAGGACGAAAGGCTGCTGTGGAATTGTGTCAACCGATATGTGAAAAAGGACAGGGAAGACAAAGTCCGAGGCAGAACGAAGGAGATCACTTTATTCCTTGTGCACGCAACGGGTTTTCCGAAGGAAGTGAGTCTTGTGGTGCCTTTTTATGTGTGCTAGGAACTTAATTTAATCGTGTTTTAGATATGGGAGACCACCCTATGCTATCTACTAGCTGCCTGTGGTGTCTTAGGCGAGATATGGTCATGCATCAGTAAATTCACGAATTGCTTAATTTCCTTTTAAGCTCTTATTTTTCTCACCCAAGAGCGGACAAGAACCAGAACACCTCCTTGTCACAAGGAGCAACAAGCTGCCAAGAAGATCCCTTCCTCTTGATTTGAGCATTTTCGCACTTTTTTTCATTTGTCCTACACTTTTTGCACTTATTTTTAGAACGAGCTACATTACAATCCCCTTATGTCGCACTTATTTTTAGCTTGTTCACACTATATACACTTTTTCACACTTGTTCACACTTGTTACCAGGAAAAAGAATTGCATTTCAACCGGACAAGAGGATTAAGTAGATAAAAGGTTAAACAAGGAGAAAAATAAGGACTAGCAAGTAGATTAATAACGAGCGCGACAAAGCAAACGGAGGCGGCAACGAGACATAACAAGCGCGACAAATGGAGGCGGCAATGAGACATAACGAGCGCGACAAATGGAGGCGGCAACGAGACATAATGAGCGCGACAAAGGAAATGGAGGCGGCAACGAGACAGCATGTAAAAAAGACCAGGGAACATAGCATGAATAACCTTGAAGGTACTAGCAGCGTTGAAGCTCCTAGTCAGTTGCAAAATAAACTACAAGAGTGAAGGACATTATCTCTAGAAAATGAACGCTCGCTCATCCCCAGATTCTTCGTCCACATCCATCCGCGCGCCGCCACACCTCTTCGTGGCGAGGCTCTGCGCAAGCTCAGAGTTTCGGATAAGGACCGAGTCTGGCAAGCGTGTGATAGACGCCATGTAAGCCCTCGTGTGCGCACCCCAATTGGCTTCTGAAAATGCCAAGGGGACGCTGCTCTGGTTGCCTGTGGACGGATTGACGTCGAGCGGGGTCTTGTTGCCTCGACCATTGCCAGAGGTGTCGATGTCTCCTAGGAGCATGTGTCCATTGACGAAAAGCCTGATGGCACGTTCCATCTGAAATACAGGGTAAGTTAAGTCAGCTGTATGAGAGGGTAGAAAACACGTGCTGCTGCCGTGGCAAGACTAAGAGCGCCCTTCGAGTGCCCCGGCACTGTATCGTTCGTTCCCGGCAGGTTGACAGCGCCGGACGTGGCACACTTGTGCTGCACGAGAACCTGTACAATAAGGTCAGACTGGAACGGGTTGGAGACCTCTCCGTCCTCCGCGATGTCCCCAAATAAAAAGGTGAACTTGTCGAGTAAGGCCGATGCAAAATCTTTGCGGTCCTCATCAGTCTTGAGGTCATCTTGTGAGGTCATGAAGTTGGCGAGCACGGCGAGAGCCACATTGCTAAAGGTATTGCGCCACTCTGACAGCCGCTGGAGGGTCTAGAAAAATAAATGACAGATTTAAATCACGTTTGAAAACAAAACGTACAACGGCAAGGACAGGCCCATCAGCTTCAACCGTGTGTGGAATCCAAAAGAAGCATCATCATAGTTACTGATAGATAAACAAACTCACACATCAGACGTCTTCTGAACTTCTCCATCACGTGCCTTTGTTGAGTCGATAACGATGCCAGCGTTTAATACTGCTTGAATTGCTTCTCTCACCGCCAGTTTCTTCTTCTTTTTGGTTTGGACCGGCTCCCCATCCTCATCCTCACTTGCAGGATTTTCGACGCTAGCATCAGCTGCTAACCTTTTAGCTCCACCCACGCGACCCCTGCCTTTGGTGACAAGAGGCTTATCGGCGATGATTTTTGCTCCTGCCTGCCTATCATCCATAGTCGAGTCGGAGGTCTTCAAGTCCTTTGCAGCCTTCCCCACTGGGCGTGCACGAGGACGCTTAGGCTTAGGTGCGTCAACACGCATAGCATCTTGGTCAGCCTGCATCTGTGCCTGCAAAGTAGCAATACACTGATAACTTTCTTGTACAGCTTTTTCACTTGCCTCCTTTGCCTCCCTTTCACGTTGGTCGTCAGCGGCCTTCTCAGCAGTGGTACGCTTCTTTCCACGACTATTGATTAAAATGCGCCCGGGATGCTGAGTTGCGTTCTTAGGTCGAGTCCCCATGCGCGTTGTAACTGCGTCAGGTTGAGACATTCTATCGATAGACGGTTTTGTAGGCTGACGAAAATTGAAGGCAGTGGGTTACCAAGTTGAAGGTGAGTTTCGTCACTCTAAAATTTGTAGCCAAAGCTGACTCTGAATAATATTTCTTAACGTATTGAATTGAGGGTCGATTGCAACATCCGGAGCATCAATATTCGCCAGCGCTTTTCGGCACAATGTGCTCAACAAAATGACATGTCCCGGATTGAAATACCTTAAGTACGGTGAGTATCAATGTTTACCAGAACCTTTCCGGTGATATAATGACGTCTAATAGCCTAGGGAATGTTCACCAGAACCTTTCCTGTGGTGGGGTGACCGTCATCAATGTTCACCAGAACTTTTCCGGTGGTGCGATGACATAACTGTCCATTTTAACAAACCCTTTCTGGGGTAGTGCACATTTTCGTTCCAACGGCACCTTTGCAAGGGTAATTTTTTCTTCAATATTAGCGGCTGGTTTTAAACCTTCACTAGGTCCATACGTTGCATCAACACTACTCATATGATGCGCAGAAACCGGCCTACTCACCGTGCCCTTCAGTTTCCATGCCTATCTCCAGGTTGTATGCGCTGGTTTCGAAACATCTCTGGCCGCACTCAACACATGCACGCGTTGACCTGCACCAAACCGGTTCGGTGCATGGATGACTAATGCTCTCTCACGAGCCTGATACCCTAGAAATCATTATGAACAATCTTCCTTTACTTTATGGTTCAGACTGCAGTTCAGATAGTATTTTCATTTCTCAGACAGACTCAGATAGGCTGAATATTCTTGTATATTTAATTTTGCGGTAAATTCTGCTTAGTCAGCAATAACAATGGCTCAGACTGAATCCCACACATGTCAAGTAACAGTGTAAAATAGTTCTTGCATAATTTGCCTTGTGGGAACTTTCTTAACACTCTAAATACATGGCTCGCGTCATTTCTACGGTCAATAAAGTAACATCATAACAAGACACCAACAAATAACATAATCAGTCTGTTACTTAATATTTGTCACATGATACTAAGTTATATGACTCTAACAGTCAGGTGACCTATGACCCTAAACCAAATCATGACAAAGCAACCTTTTGAGATGACTAAAGCTTGATGACACAAATTATAAAGCACATGACTACGGTAAATAGTATTGGTACAATCTGACTAAGCCTATTCCCCTTAGAACGTGGGAAATAGTAACACAGCCACCATAATTTATCTATATAAGACCCCACTTTTTGCCAATAAAAAAAAAGCATATAGGGAACTTTTAAGCCCCACAAAATAAATTTGAGTGTGAAGTGTGATCAGTATCAACAACAGTGACAAGAGCTGTTAAGCAACTAACTGAGAGGTCATTGTAAGCAACATCTAGCAATACCTTTAGCTCATCGTCAACAACTGTGAAATATCTTGAGCTCACTGTGCTCAACAGTGAGCAAACTTTTTCTTTGATTTTCTACTGGTGAACCTCTAGTCTCTTTCTTTTCTTTTCTTTCTTCTTTCTCTCTTTCTTTTTCTGTTTCTTTCTTTGTTTGTTTCTTTTCATTTGTCTCTTTTTCTGTTCAGTTCGTTCACGTCTCAGTGTTATTGTCTGAATTTGTTTCAAGATCTTTGTGTTGTCTTTACGTCCATCTAAGCACCGGCTTAGTGGGAAGACTTCAGAAGTTGATAGTGACGCTTGACCTCACTCATCTGAGTAGTGATACTGAGCCAGGGTTTTCTTTGTCTGCTAGACTTTAGTTGTTGAATAGGGGACTTGGTACTGAAATCCAAGGATGTCCGTTCCTGATTCTGTTTAATACTCATCGTGAGTTCCTTGGCAGCAGGTTCAATAGTGAACTAAGAGTTCTACTGATCACTGATTAGTCCTGACCTTTGATTCTACCTGTTTGTGCTGAGGGGGTGATTGCTATAATTTCGCACGACTTTCTGTAGTAAATTTATTACAAGAAGCATTGTTACTGAAGGAAGGGTTTCTCTTATCAATCTATTTCTTTCTTTTATCAGTACCATACTGTTGGGCTGACTTTTCTCTGTTCTCTAAACACTGCCATACCGTTGGAGTGAATCAATTTCTGTTTGTCATCACCATACCGTTGGGCTGACTATATTCTGTTTATTTTATTTTCTATTGCATCCATACTGTTGGATTGACTGGTATTGCTACTGACCTCACAGGAAGTACTTTTGTCTGAACATAGCTTGGGGAAGTGTAAACAGCCACCCATGAACAACCACGTTATCAGTCATTGGTATTTGTCTGAATCGCTGACCGTGGAGATTTTTGATTTTGTAGGTGTTTATCTATAGATCATCTATCTAAGAAGACAGCGTCCCATCCCGTTGCACCTGCTCTGGATCTTCCCCAACCGCAACAGCTTCCATCTCCACCTCAATCGCCTCCTCCTGATTTCCTGCCACCCCCCCTGATTTCTCGCCACCCCCTCCTGATTTCTCGCCACCCCCTCCTGATTTCTCGCCTCCCCGATCACCACCTGGTCCAATGGCTGACGATGAGGATCCAGACTCAGAATTCACTGATGCGAGCAAGCGTTACTATCGTACGTATCACTCGCTCCTCAATGGTAAGTACCTTTCAATCTGCGCTTTTCACGTGTTCTGATTCTGACACGCTCTTAGGACGACCATGCACAGCTGACGGCGTGTTTCTGCCCCCTGGCACACCACCAACTCCTGTCCCACCGAAGTCTCCTCACGACTGGAGCCCGTATCGTAACGATATTGAATTTGCAACGGCAGAGTTTGTTTTCAAACAAAGCCATATGTCTAACAAAGCTACAGACTTATTACTCGACTTAATGGCTGCGCAGCTGTTGAAACACGACGACCACCCTCCATTCGCGGATCACAAGGATTTGCACAAGGTCATCGACGCCACACAACTTGGCAATGTCTCTCGATTCAATACACAGGGGAACGCCCTGAACATGATGCTCCTCCGTGGATGGACAGAGAATACGAGGTCTGGTACAGAGACCATTCGCAAATGTTCGAGGAGTAGTTATTCATAGTAAAATTTTATCTACTTGTAATCTACAACACACTTTAGTCTTCCTTGCTTTTGGCGCTTGTTGCACTTGTGGGCACTTGTGAATCACACATTTACTTGTGAGTGCTTGTGAAAGAAAAATGACAAGTGCATAAGAATAATAAGCGGCAACATGTTGAAGATTTTCGTGACAAGTGGCGAAAAAGGACGCTAAGGAGTTTGTGAATTTACTGATGTGGGTGTCTGTGCAAAATGGGGGCTCTGCTTTATTAAACCGACAGAATCTCAGTGGTAGCTGTGAGATGATGTTTCTCAGGCCTCCTGCTTGGATTTAGTTGATTGGAAATGGAAACGCTTGACGAAAAGATTGAGCTACTGTGGATCAAGCCAGGATGTGTAAATCAAGGCGGCAGGACCAAGTTCGCTGACTGATAGGCATTATCCGACGGGTGGAAACGAGGAAGTAGCGTGCTTGGCGCCGACCCGCCAATTCATCTAACGTCATCTTCAAGACGTCTGACCATCTCGTCTGTATCTCTTCTTGAACTGTTTATGTAACTAACATAATTGTGACCTAGATCCCTCAAGAGGCTCCAAAAGAGCTTGGTATGTTGACATGAAGGACTAATCTAACTGTTCATACAGCACGAGTCATTGCCGACTTCCTGCACAGGAAATACGTTATTTCTTCAGGGAAATCAAAGCTCTAGAATCGTGTATAAGAACGAGCCGGAAACTTTAGGAACCATCACGGTACTTAAACTTTGACTAGGCCCTGGATAATATCACATAGAGCATGACATGTAAATGGGGAGAAAAACGAATCACTAGCTAATCATGAGTAACTTTACGGAAAGTTATGAGCAACCATCGCATCATATTTATGCAAGGTTCTAGGGACCCAGAGCTTTAAATTCGAGCTCGCTCCAAAACTAAAGTCGCGCCGCTGGTACCTGAGCCTGAGGGGAGCTATAGACAGGCAATGTCTTGCTAAATTCCTCCCAGCACTTATCCGATATGATGGGTGACGACACGTATGGCTCAACCTCCATCGCAGTGAGCAACTCCTCCAGGCGAGGCAAAGCTGCCGACAAAGCAGCATCCTCCATATGCACAATGGCCTTCCGCGTAAACACGCCATGTTCTACGTACCACGCAGCATCTGTCTTGATCGCATTGATGAGATACAGATCAACAAGACATTGGGGGACCCCTTGGTCGACAGCGGCGTCACAGGCCATGCGGTGTCCCATGGATTCGACCATAAGCTGACAGCGCGGTTGCACATATTGCATGAATGCTTGCGTGAAATCGGATGAGGAGAAAACTGTCTCGGTTGCCTCATCGAATAACGAGATTTCGTGCATCGCAAGTGGCCCATCTGGGTGTGTTGAGACAGGTAACTCGTACGTTTGCGACAAGGTATCTGCCACGAGTCCTATAATTTATCTGTAAGTCTTTGGTTTGTGCAAACATCGATGTACTGCACTGACGCATGGAAAGCGCTGGAAACTTTGATTAGCATCACGTCACTGGAGAAGGCTAAAATGTCACCTACCTAAAATGTCACCTTCAGCGATGCTGACTCCCCTCATCTCGCTCTGTGAAACAGGTTAATTCTTGCTGTGACATGAGTGTCAAAGAGAAGGCGCTCGTACATAAAAGTTGGACAGCTGATTATATTCGAAGAGGCCTTGAGCTCCCAGTCTTTCAGACAGGACATAATTTGCAACTTGTGCATGCTGAATCATGACTGCTTTGCAGCAAGCCGCAATGCCGTGTCGCACACGAACATCAAGATTATTGTCCATAAACTGTTCGATAGCCCATTTGTGAAGCGCTCTCAGAACGAACGCCTGAGCAATGGCGTGTAATAGAGGGAGCTGTTGCGTTCGGTATGAAATTATGGGCACAGGATTTCCTTGCAAACTGGTGACATGACGACGCTGAAAGTAACGCGCGGCGACGAACGATCCCACCCGGAGATAAGGTATCGCAAGTGAGCTGAGCGCTAGCGACCCGACCATAACACGCCATATAGACGACATGAAGTCATGATGGATTGTGTTGGACTTGGTGAGATCCCCGAGAAGGGCCGAAGGGGGTAAGCGGACGTGATGGAAGCTTGTGAGCGCATGGTTGACGGGGGACGAGCCTCCTCTAGGTGGTAGCAACCTAGTCATAGAGCAATAAGTCTGAAAGCGGTGAAATAAATTTAAAGAGGCACTCGCATCGAAGTCACCCCGCTGCACATATCATATCCGTCGTTTATATTCACAAGAAACGGTCGAGGTCCACGGCATTCGCCGTCTACGTACAGTTGTGCGAAAACAACGGCGACGCATGGAAGACCTTTCATTGGAATGGTTGGTGGCATGAACCTGCGTCACCATGATTAGCAGCTGTCGAAAATATACTGATCTCGTACTTGGCATCCGAGGGCGACGGTGTATGGAGGTCGAATTCCCCTGTTGGAAGAAGTGTCACTGATGTCTTCATTCGGAAGATGTCTATGCCTCTCCCCAGCTCGGTAAGGCAGAATTGACCACTGCAAAGAGATTATGTAGTGCCTCTGCAAAATGGACATGAAAGTTTGCTCACATGACATCCCACCGAAGAATGTCCTCGACGAGGGAGATCAAATCAGGTCTAGTAGTCGCAGCATATTTTGCAAGCGTTCCAGCGACCAAATTGTACTGGATGGTCAGCAGCGTACACGCGGCCCCATCTAGGACCATGTTCGGGTGGGTGTGTATGTCCCAAAAATTTTGCGTCAAATTCAATATGTCGTTGAAAGTGATGCCTGCAATACGAGATTAAGACATGCCCCGTGAACAAAACAGCTTGATATGCACCGAATGCTAAACCAATGGCCTTGGCTCTATCATATGAGAGAACCACTCGAGCATCGCGGCTGAGGAGCTCGGAGCGTTTCTTGAATAGATCTGACTGACAAAGCTGTGACGTAGATGTCATAATGGAATGTCTCGGAGTGGGGAAACAAGGTATGTTATTTTAGTTTCTCCGACTCTCGTCTGTTATATACTGGTGGTCACTGCCTACGTACCTTTATAATAACGCACGTACTCCGCGCTGATCTAGTCATTAGTGGCACTATCATGATGGGTTAACGATGGCCACGATTATGTAGGCCATGAGGTTACAAGAAGTAAACTTTCAAATCCAAAAAAGTTGAGCTGGTCGACACCTGTTCTGCCATACCAGCCATATTTGGTGGGTGTTTCGTGATTGTCTTGGTTGTTACCCGGGATAAGTCTGTTCCACCGATCGCGCAGTAGGGAACTTTTTCCAACACCTGGCAAGTCATCGCTCGTATTTGACAGAATTTATCATAACCGCCGGCATGTTGTCTACTACGTCATGCTGTGTCGTTGCATTATGCGTCATGCTGTGTCGTGCGTGCTCGACCTCTGACGGTGTCGTTGGTCTTCAGAACGGAAGCAGATATCAGACCGTCACATGAACTGGTCTGTGTCAACTAATCTTCACGACTGAAGTAACGCACACCAATCACTGGCGGCAACGTCTATGCCGATGTTGATAAGTTTAGACTACAATCAACTTCCTTAGCCCTAGTTTCATATTTCCTTTGCGTTAAAATCCACTTGTTCGCATCCAACGATGCTGGAGTGTGCAATGCAGGTCATGCCATTGTTGTAGCATGGTGTGGGCATTTGTGATATCATAATTGTCTCGATATTGGAGCGATTTCCAATATGGTGTCGACTCCATGTGCGCGCTCCACTTGAGCCCCTTTGAGGCCCCACTGTGACCATGCTCCTGCACTCCAGTGTCGACGTTCGACGCCCATAGACCTCATCCGTCATGTCTTCGGCATCAACAACGCTGTTGACTTCCTTTCAAACGGCTTAGTGCGAAATGTGCGAGCGTGAGTCTTTGACTCATCCGTTAAACGTGGTCGCGTAAGTAGGTCAGAAGGGAAACTGCGATTTACGGTCCAGCTTGAGCGTGCTGGATTGAAAGAGAATGTGATGCGAGGCAGGCAATTTCTCCTGTGATGAATCTGAACCTCGAGGAATCTGCGATGAAGAGTGCTAATGCAGACCGGACTTTCGAGAGCGTGATATCGCTGAGACACTCGAAGCGCTGTTTGCAACAGAGAACAAAGAGGAGAAGACAACGCAGAGTGTACAGGGCCATCTCTTATTGGTAGAGAACATCTGAAGGTGAACGGACCGCTTGTGTCAATTATTGCTAGGAAATCAAACTCGGAATCGATCTTGTCGGCTGACTCCACAAACCCAAGGACAAAGGGCAGTATTAGCTAAAGAATGTTCACAATAGTTTCAAGCAAGCCTTTCGCCAGGTCAATGCAAACCAGGGGGTTGATGTTACAGTGGCGCCTAGCAGCTGACTTGCGTTATCATCCTGCGACCCTTCGGTATCAGAAGAGGCGTGCTTGGTATTTGAATCGTTCTATGTTAGAATCAGCACACCGTGAAACTCTCAGACATGTCATGCCTTCTTGCCTTCGACTGTCTCAAGCTTCTAGATCCGAGAGTCCCAGCGAAGCTCCAGAAGGAAGAACAAAATAGATTGTACCGCGGGGGTAGAACAGATAAGAACGAAATCAGGGAACAAAACTATAAACGGACGAGTGACCATCAGGTCCGCTACTTATTGGCGGCTCCCTCGTTTCATCACACTGGATCTGTGTGGTGGGAGTGGGCTTTGATTATTGGATGCGCGTTTGCTATGCGAAAATATTTGGCTAATCTGCGTTTAATGCGTGAACGTTAACACCCAAATGCAAGACGGCCGTGCAAACCGTTATCAGAGAGGAAAACGAAAGGAGAAGTGAGAAGAAAGTGCCAGTGTGCCGCATGGTCACTATGCAATGTGCATGATAATTCACAAAAAGCCCGGATCTCGAATAAAAATACAAAGCACGCCCCTCTGCATTGCGCAAGGTGATAAATTGGCGACCTGGGTAGTAACCAGTCATATACGCCAGTCACGGTGGGATGGTACTTCCACCGCTCTCGAAAGTCGAGGCTTGACGTTGATCAGTCTCCTCGAAGTTTACATTATCCCTGTTCCTGAATTGCAAGGCGAGGAATGTGCAACTGTCCATTGTCTAGGGAGTCTGGCTGACTCTGATCAGCAAGTTTGATATCATACGTCAAGTCGACCGTGACGTTCGAGTTGCACTTAAGTAGAGTGAGAGTAAATTACCACAATAAGCCTGCACCCGCTGTCAAGCTACAGATTACCCCCTCGCATGCAAGCGCCGTTGCAATTCGATGTCCGTTGCAGAACCCAAGCGCAATCAAGCCAAGCAGAAGCAGAAAGATCCCAAGCCCCAAGTTCCAGCAAATGCAACTGAACGCCTAAAAACCGTCGTACGTCGTCTACCCCCCAATCTCCCCGAAGAAATATTCTGGCAGAGCGTTCAAACATGGGTCACGGATGACTCTGTTACTTGGAAAGTGTATCATGCCGGGAAGTTGAGTAAGAGGTGTGTTTTATTACTGTATCCTTGCGGTGTGAGTGACTGATTCAGTGCTGCGATGTGTTGGCAGGGCAAACCAGGAGAATGTCTCTTCGCGGGCGTATATTGCATTCAAGAATGAGGAGGTGCTCGCCACGTTCAGCCGTGAATACGATGGTCATCTCTTCAGGGACAAGGCAGGTTTGTGATAATTGAGCATAGCGCAGTTGCAGTCAAGTGATCTTTGCTGCAGGCAATGAATCTCAGGCAGTAGTGGAGTTCGCTCCGTTCCAGAAGATACCCTCTGAGAAGAAAAAGACCGATGCGAGAAACGCAACGATCGATAAAGGTGCGGTTGGATCAGCGGTGAAATTCCCATCATTCTCAAATGATTTATAGACGAAGATTATATCTCTTTCCTCGAAGCGCTCAACAACGCTGAGAAATCCGAGCATGCGTCCCTTGAAGCATTGAGTGAGGATCGCGTGATATATAGTAACATTATTTCTGATGTTAGTTTTATGATCAGTTGCAGCATCTCAACCACCCGCCGCTCCCAAAACTACGCCTCTCCTTGAAGCACTGAAGGCAGAGAAGTCAGCTCAGAAGGACAAGGAAGCTATCCTCCGCAACCATGCACACTATAAGGACATTTCTATCGCATCTACTGCCAGGAAAGAAGAGGTCAAGAAGAAAGCTGCTGTCCCTGCTGCAGCATCGCAGAAGCAGCCCGAAGTCAAACCTGCTCCACCCCTCAGCCGCAAAGCGAAGAAAGCCGCGGCGGCGGCGGCGGCTGCACAACAGACTGATTCTCCTGCCCAGACCGCGCCAACGACTCCTGCTGCATCGAAACCTACTGCATCGAAAGGCGCCTCTGCAGGGCATGCTAATCTGCCAGCCAAGCCTCCTCCACAAGCACCCGCTGTTCCTCGACAACGCCGCTCCTCACAGAGTCGTCAGCAGGCGCCTAAAGTGCTTGCTGCGTCTCTCCCTCCTAAACCAGTGGTACAACCTAGTCCTGCCAGTGCAGAGGCCGCACCACCTGCAAGCAGTCGCAGGGGACGTCCAGTCGTTGGTCTGGGACGGCATTTCGAGGCCGCCTTAAATGGTGCGGTCGGCCCCAGCGGAGGAAAGAAACGCGAGAAAGATGCCCAACCAGCTTCCGCGAGCGAGGCTGTGCAAAAAGATGTTCCGGATAAACCTAAGGATACCTTTGCATCCTCTTCTCTCAGCCCTGTTATTCCCAGTATTCTGCAGCGTGGGGATGGACACGCTCCTGGGAACCCTATGATTATGCAACGCCCTCAGCCTACTCATGTTCCTCAAAGTCCTCCTACTGCTGATTCGCATGTTGGCAGAGGGGGGGCACAGAGGAGAGGGCGCGGCAGAGGTAGGGGAGCTCCTCGTGGTGGCTAAGTGCAACGTCATTAAGTATACAAACCTACTTTTTGTCCGCCATAAACGCCACCGCGAGGCTGGTGGAGATCCTTTCAGTTGCGCTGCACGGTTCATTGCAACGCAGTTGGCACTTGGAATCCAGTCGGGCCACCACGAGCGGTGACAGCCATGTATGTTCACTTCGCGCTAGCCCAGCACCAACCTCTTGCAGCACGACTGATGCTTTTATGAATCCCTTTGAGTAGATTTAATGTTGGTAGTCAGACCCAGTACCTCCATGCATAGTGTTTACTAGTCGTTCTCTTACACGCAGAGTAATCAGCAATCGAAATCAATTGTTCCGTCCCCATTATAACAATATTTCTACTGCCGCGCTATATTGACACAGAACCTTGTTTATAAGAGCAGCATCCCATCAGAGTAAATGAGTTCAGGTATATCCAAATTCCGCTATAAAATATCGATCGAAGGAAGTCAAATCAAGACAAGATAATCACAAAAGCATTGCCCCAAGGAGAGATGCAGCAGCACCAACGAAGCATGTAATACCAGTGATGCCAACCTTGCCAGCGGCGCCAGTCTTGGTAGCAGTGGCTGAAGTTGAAGTGGACGATTGTGAGCCGGAAGTGGAGGCAATGGAGGACGTGGAAATGGTTTTCATAGATCCGGAAGCACTAGAAGTTGCGGTTGCAGTTGTAGTTGCGCCAATGGGTGCTGTTGATTGCCCGTTGATTTCATCTTGCACAGTAGTGTTGAACGTTCCGGTCATGCCAGTCATCCTGTAGCGCCCGCGGTGAGTTATCTTCGACGAAACATAAAATTACTCACGTGAATTTAGCAGAAAATGCCTCCGCAGGGAATTGAGAGTTCGTAGCATCTTTCAGGTTGATTGATGTGAAGCGAACAAAACTAGAAAGAAGTTGAATCGACCTGGCCGTGAACAAGACAGAGCGAGTCTCTCACTATTCATCGCTGTCTGGTCCAATGGTGCCATCGGGGGTGAAATTAATTGACGAAGTGGTCGACACGTCAACGCTGGAGCTAATGGTTTGGAGTAATGTCTGGCAAAAATAAGACTGTTGTCTTGTTTACTTCAGACTAATAACTGACCTGTTGGTTGGCGTTACCAGTGTAGATACCAATGAGAG